TATCATGAATTATTAACTTTAAAAGAAGCTAAACGATGAATGAGACGTTGAAATTGAAATATGTATATTTAACGACTACAAATGTACAAATATTAAGAAATGAGTTCATGTTTCGTGAATTAACAGACACATGTTGGATTCGCATGTTTCCAGCAAATTTACGTTACGAAATTGTCTTTAAAACGAAGGCAATGAACTCTCATAATTTTATCGCGTGCTTAAATGCATGTCGTTATTTTTTTATTTCAGCGCAACGACCATTACAAATATAGATATTTGATATTAATTCTTTATCTCTCTTACATTTTTATGTCTAATACCTACACACGCATACATAGTAGCGAAACAAATGACAAAAATAAAGTGGAAAACAATTTCCCACCTGGATAGTTTTTCTTTATTACAACGTCGAGATGCAAATGTAAATAAATCGAAAAAGAAATTTCGTTAACATCACATACTCTTTAGTAATAATTCAACAAATTTTAAAAATAAAATGTCGAGATGTGCACCTGGAATGTTGAGCGAAAAATAATTCTTCCATGTCGAATATAACTCGTCTTTAACTAATCGAAGCGCAAAATACAGAATATAATTATAGGATTGCAGTAAAGAAAGTTGGAAATCTGATTTCGTTTCCTTAATATTCATCGAAGTCCGTGATCTTCAGAATCGCTCGTAATTCACGAGATTAAAAATTAAGTACGTCAAATTCAATTACGTTTTCTTTTTGTTACTTTTATTTTTTAAATTAGCTCTTACATTTACACTTTTTTCAGTTTTTAATAATTTTCTATAAAAATACCGATTCTATTGTCTACAAAAATAACCTAATCGTTCATATTCTACATTTTTTCTACATCTTTTTAATTTGCACGATATATTAAACTCAATATAAAATTGTTTTTTTCAGATAGTATAAAGTATAATATTTAACTAATGTATATGTATACATATATAATGTGTGTGTTAAGTTTTGTTAGAAAACATTTATTCGAGTATTAAATGTTTTAAACTGTCCCATAATTTAGATTAAATAAAATCTATTTATTCAATAATAAAAATAGAATGGCTAACAATTGTGTTAAATTTTGATGATAAATATATTGATAAATTTTGACTAATTTTCTTGTCGATAAAAAAATATAGAGAGAATTCATGATGAATTGACGAAATTATATTTTCAAAGGTTCAAAAATGAAAATTCTATTTTGTAATAAGGTTCAGATAAAATCAATTGAAAAATATAAACCTTTCTTTAGAAAAATGGAATACGGCTTATTTATTTAATCTCGAAAAATTTAATTTGCAAGAAATCCGCTAATATATCTGCAATCGTGAACTATTTTAAATTACTTGGATATTTTTTCTTTGATGAGAGAGAAATTCGCTCCAATTTAATAAAAAATCCATCAGCAAAATATAAATCATATAAAATCCGTCACAAAAAAACATTGTGAAATAAAGGATTAAAATTAAAGTTTATTATCTTATACAAAGACTTTTAGCTTCATAATTAAGTAAGGATTTGTTAAACCAAGCATATACGGTTCTAATTTTACTTAAACATCTTTGCGCAATGTGTAACTAATTATATAGCATCTTGCCGACAAACAAATAGAGAGAGATAAGAAGGAAAAATTATACATATGAGCTGTTGCGCAGTTTCATATTGTTGGATTCTCTACAAGAAGGTTCACTCGATATTTGGTATTAGTAATAACATAACTAATTGATTCATAATCACTTTGCAAAATTTTTCAAAATAAAAAGAAATACGATTTAAGATTATATTTAAATTTATAAAATTTTAATTACAATTGCTACTGAATTTATTACTTTACTATTTGCTTACGGTTGACGAGATTTATTATTAAACCGGATCTACAGTGAGCGATTCTCTATCTGTAATTTTCATGTAAATGTAACACGCGAGAAAATAACGCGCCAGATTTATATTCGACATTCTTATTTTAAAATAGCTTTCGTCGCAATATTTAATCAACACAGGTAAAAGCGTGGAAATCAAGTGGTTTGTTCAAGTTTATATTGTAATAGTTTTATTCAAACATGTGTAATTATGATAAACTTATGACGCGTGCGCAAGTCGAAACAAAAATAATATTTACTTGAAATATTAATGAATAAATCACTGTTGTATGCATATAAATAATGGCAATATATTCATGACTTAAATATGAATTATACATTATATAATCCGGCGTTAAAAAACGCGACAAAAAATTTCCTAATACGCATTTATCATAATTCTTCCAAATACGATACACATGAGTATTGAGTAAACATATCGCGTAGTTGTATAACTTTAGAGAGCTAACATATATAATAAAAATTCTAGATATCATGTTCAAGGATTGCGATAAAACGCACGGTGTGTGATGAAGTACGCGAAATCAAGCGCATATCGCGAAATCATATCCGTTTCTATACGTAAATATGTGTCAACCGGAAGCAATTGTAATTATCATTGAATTAAATAAAAAATAATATCTTTATTCCTCCGCTTGTGCAAAACATATAATTTATTATGTAATTATCGTTGAATTAAATTACGAAATATTTCTAAAAAAGTGTCTTTCCAAATCTATGTGAAAGATTTATTAGAAAATTTTTATAGAAGACATGATATATAAATAAAAAATTTGGTATAATATTCGTGATATTTACTATTATGAAACCAACGTAATTTACATTTTTGTATTTCATAAATTATAATATTTGTCACTTAAAAATTTTTATTTCAAAAACGATATTATGTTCTACATTTTTACTACTTTAACCCATTTTTATTTTTAGAAATGCAGTTAACATGTGACAATAAATAAAAAATTTGATATAATATTCGTAATTTATTATTATGAAACCAACGTAATTTACATTTTTCTATTTTATAAATTATAATATTTGTCACTTAAAAATTTTTATTTCCAAAAAGATATTATGTTCTACATTTTTACTACTTTAATCCATTTTTATTTTTAAAAATGCAGTTAACATGTGACAATAATTATCACTAGGAAACTAAAGAGGAAAAAACAATGTGTATACGATATACAAATATTCTTATTTGCGACAATAAATATTTTTACGATATTAAATTACTGACGTAGGTAATGATGTAACAAATTATATATGATAAATAGTATGATCATGAGCTATGCAAAATAATACTTAAAACAAGTTTCGCGGTTATATTTTTATATGTAATAAAAAACGGACTTTATACCCATTCCCAACTACCGTCTACCTTTCACATTATTATCTCGTTTATCATACATTTAGAAGATGCTATTTACGAAAATGTCTTGTACACGAGACATTTTCGTAAATAACATCCTCTAAAAACAGCGGGTTACACTTGATTAGCCAAGAAGGATTGCGAAAGAAATAGAAGCAAAATGCGAGCTAATAAAATAAGATAGAGGATCTTAAAGAATAGAGAAACGGAATTAAACTCGGTGCTATATAATTCCGGATAATACTCGGAATGGAGCAGAGTCCAATACGATGCTGAATGAAAATACGACGAAAACTCTTCGAGATGAGCCATTCATTATTCGTATTTCCTCCGATAGCGAATTTGGCATAATTATATGTTTGCGATACGTTCCGATGATACCAAAAAAATAGTACACGTAATAAAAAAAATAAATAAAAAACGATTGAGTATATATACAATCACGAAACAAAATTTGATAATACTCCTACCGGCAAATATCGCGCATAAAATCTGGGGAGTATAAAATCTGCATATTCGATATAAATTCAACAGAGCACGTGAACGTGCAATAAAAGTACTAAAAAATTCAAGATATATGAAGGGACTTGCAGCATTTCTGATAACGTATTTGATTTTTCGAAAATAAAATATAAAGATATTAATGTAAAATATAAAAATATAAATATAAATATGTTACAATATATATATCTCAAAATATTTTAAATTATAGCCCGATAAGAAAATGCAAATTATGTACTCAATATTTTTTACTTCAAATACGTTAAAGTATATGATGTTTATGTATATGATTGATGTTTATGTATATGATTTTAAAAATAAATAGAAATTTATGTACTTTACATAATATTATATTTAAGCATCCCTATTTATTATTGATGAATTTTAATTTTATGTCTGTTTCTCTCACCAATTTTATTGCTATGTGTATGACAAAATTTTTTAAACAATTTATAGTTGAGTAATTTTGTTAAATGTATGCAAATTGCTGCTTGTTTTTATTCTTACTGGTATCCAACATAAATTTTCTATTCGTAATTCAATAATAAGATTAAATGTTAGTAATAGAATGCGGATTTAAATGTAATTTAATCTTTTCCAGCGTGCATTTTTTAAATTTTGATCTTATAATTATATATATATATATATATATATATATATATATATATTACACAATCAACTTGATCAACTTGATCAACAAGACCAGTCTATTATTAATTATTTTCATCAATATCTACATGAATAATATATGAATATTTATATAATTAATCATGTCGATCCATTACAGAACCATTACAAAATCGCTATAGAAAAATTCAAAATATTTTTTTCAAAAGAAATTAGCATAAATACAATATGAAAATATAGTTTCAAGAAGGATATCTTTAATGGAAAGAAATTAACACTATGAAATTCCCGTCGTGGACGATTAACATTCACATGTAAATACAATCGGAAAGAGATACACGATACTATCGTCAATACATTACCATAATATAATCATTACTTATCAGAAATTAATATCGCATAATATGACTCAATTTTTTCCTCTTTCCTTAAAGTTACATTGAAGAATTTTTATAACGACTTTACAAACGTCAGATACGTTTCAAGCGCGACGGAATTTCTGTAATCGCGATCGACAATGATCCCGGGCGCTCCGTCCACCTGTCATTCGGACGCAGACCCGGTCAAAATATAGAAGGAATGTAGACAGAAAGAAAGCAGATCGTAGACTCACCGAACGTCGCTGGGTCCAGGTGTCACGACGCTCGTGGATATTTTCGACGTAGCGTCCTCGACGTGGCGGTGCGTCCCAAAACGTACATCGGCGTCACACGTTGACACTGGTCGAAGCCGGGCGACGAACATCGGCGGGCTGCTCTTGACGCTCAAACACGCACGCATACGCACACGTACTCGCACGCACACGCGGCGACAGTCGACCGCGCGACACACGATGATAGGAGAAACGGGGAAAAAAAACGGGAAAGACGAAAACAGATGCATAAGAGTGACATTCCCAAAACAATTCCCACACGCTCCAGTCTCACACGCGCAGACACACATGTATACATAAATACGCACGCACTCACGCAGAGATACAAACAGCACACACCTGACGCAAAGACGATGCGCTCGCGGCGAGGGAGATATGACGGGGGAAAGGGGAAGATGAGAGAGAGAGAGAGAGAGAGAGAAACGGACGACCGTATGCAGTCGATGCGATTAACAGAGAGGGAAATATGCGGGCACACACATCGTCGTCGAAACGTACACAATGCGGAAGCGGCGCGACGCGGCGTCATGCGTTACGAAGGGACGGGAGTCGGCGGGATTCGACGCGGAAGCATCGTCGCGCGCGCCGAGGACCGTCGCGTACGCGTTTCGTTCGTCTCGACACCGGTCAAACGACGTCGATTCGCGACGAGCGTACGCGCGAATATCGCGGAACCGCGCGCGCGAGACGGGAAAGTGAGGGGAAACGCGAGCGACGATCCGCGACATCGCGCTTTCCTGACACAAGTCGACCGATCGACCGCGAAACGCGACCGACGCGTTTACGCGTCCTTCTACTAACCTATGCGTCACACGTCGACCGGTCGTCGCGGTTGCTCGTTCAACGAGTTGAAAACATTTCCGCGACACTGACTTGTGCGGCTATCACGACGGCTGCCATATTGGATTCCCCATTCCCACGATGGCCACGGATCAGGCGCGTGCGAGAGCGACGTCGCGCGGCGGGAGTTGGCGCGACTGTGTCGCCATCTCGTGACGGCGCCTTCGAATTATCATCTCTTGATCGGTCGGCGACGACGGATAAGTCTCTGATCTAGAAACACACATAAAACGTGTTATCGTCAGAGATTAATCAATTAGATATCAAATAGATATATGTATATAATATGTATATGAGTAACTTTCAAAAATTGATATAGTTGATTAGTCAATAATTGGCGATAGTGTGCATTGACTTTAAGATTCATATACCAAAGTTATTCATTTACAATTGGAATAAAAAAAAACGAATTTTCTTTAAATAAGGAAACATATATATACATATTAATACATATATACTAATAATATATTTCTTATACATTATATACATTAATCTTATGTCAATTGTACATATATATTACACATATATTACACTTATGTTATACATATTATATATATGTAAAAATTCTTTTTATATCTCTTACAAATATTATAAAAAAAACTATAATTTTAAATACATAATTTTACATATAAATGCAACAATATAAAATGTATTAATTCAATAAGTATTATTGTGAAAGATAAGTATATGATGCATTTATCAATAATTAAACTTATTTCTTCTATTTATAAAGAATTGAATTTTTCTACTATTCTCTAATTATTCTTTAATTCTTTTTAATTTTCAATAAAATATAAAATTGTCATGTTCAAACTTAACATAAATGTTTATGAATTTACTGTAAATATTTAAATATTCTTTCTTTTGTACAGAAAAGTATATAAAAGTATATAAAATAGAATATAAAATAGAAAATAGAATTTCATGTGCAATTTTTTGACAATAAAAATGCCTTGTCTCTCAAGCTTTTATACCAATTTTCTTCTTTGTAAACTTGCTAAATAAATTTTTCTTTTTATTCTCATATATATCAGTATTTGATAAATCCAAGCTGTCTAAATTATCCACTGATGGCAGATTTTGAATTGCTGTCTCTGTAATTAATTGGCCACTTTGCTTAGTTTGTTTCATTTTCCAATTTGTAATTTTTTCCCATCGTAACAATGTCTTATTCTTTTTACTATCAACATTTAAAGCTTTTGCATCATTTATTTTTGCAATGGTATATTTTTTATTCTTCTGTTGTAGATATTTTGATGTTTCATTTGTCTTTTGACTATTTTGAGGTATATTATCATGCTTATCAAACAAAATATCCTTTACTTCTGTAACTTCTTTTGTTGTATTCCTTCTCTGTGTTATATTGCTGCAAAAGTAATTTTATTATTATTTAGTAATAATAAAAAGTAATAATTATTTAATTTGTATTCTTAGAATAGCTTTTATGTATGTATAACATAAATGTTTCATGTGTGTGTGTATCAAATATGTGTCTTGTTATTATATTATATTGAACAAGAGTTACGTTACTTTGTATTGATAGAATTTGAAGTTTTTATAGAATCATGTAACTTGTCCCAAAAGTTATATAATCCTCTACGATTATAATCCAGAGTAGAGATATATTTCAATTGAAATGGCAATTCGCAGCTTTCATATATACATGGTATGAGCTTTCTCTGCCGCTTTTCTATGAAAAAATATAAATTTTTAAAATATACTGTTTCAAAAAGATTGTGATTTTATTCATTCAATAACAAATATGTCAAAATAGATATAATTCAATACAAAAACATACCAATACTTAAAGCTTGAGCATAATTTAAGAAGAACTTGTTTGCTGAGCTTTTTAAAAAGTTGGGCGATATTATAATGAGTAATCTATTACATCGTTCTGATATTAATTTCATCACTGCTTCATGCTCAAATGCTACTCCACCAACTAGATCTCGATCTTTCAAACAAAGCTTTCAACAAAAGGAAAACAAAAATGTAGTTCAATTTTAATTGAATCTTTGTAAGAGATATATATATTTCAATTATATATTATAGCTAATTATACCTTTAGTTTATATTCTGCCTCCAATTTTTGTACCATTTCATTTACAAAACTAACATCTTCATCTGCATATAAAAGGAATGCATCATAATATTGTGTTTCTAAACCTTGACTTAACCTATGAACATCGCCTATAAGGAACAAATATTTATTATATAGTTATTGTATAACATAATTGTTATGTTTGTTGATTAATTTGGACTAAAATATTATTAATTGCATACTCTACAAACCTAATGTAAGTACTTCTTGATCAACACTATCTATCAAATCAGCTGATACTTGAGCTCTTTGCTGTTGTTCCAAATATTTTACAGCATCATTTTCTGAAAAAAAAAAAAAAAAAAAGAAAAATATAGAAAAAATTTTTATGATAATCGCGATCAACTTTCATATATATATTTTAAATTATTATAACCAATAGAGCATATTATCTTTTATTATATTGAATAATACATACGAAAGATTGCTTCAGTGTCATCAATAATATCCCATCTGTCCATTTCTTCCATCATTGTTTGAAAATTTTTTATGGTAATATTTTTTTTATTTTTCTCTAACATTGTTAACATGTATGTTGTTGGATCAGAATGTGATACAAGCAGTGACATTATTTCTCCATTGAGTTCCAACAAATGTGCGAGACCTCGCCAATCTCTGATAATTTGATTATAAATAATAATTAGTCATTATATATAAACATGAAGAATAAAAATATGTAAAACATTATTTATTGTAAAAACAAATTATATTTACCTTGGTAAACCGTTATCGCTTGATAAAACTTTCTTGGGGTTTAACATAGCTGTAATAATTTGTTTACTCACAGCAGAGATTCCAACAAGTGGCACGGTCGACAAATCAACCGTCATTTTGATTAAATTTCTTTCTTCTTTTATTTAATGAATTATTCTTTATACTACTTTGACTGTTTTGTCAAAATTATTGCCACAGCTACATGTACGTCTATAATATTGTCACTTCCATAAAATAATTGTTCCTTACTTATCGGCATATTTATTAATTTGCTCACGTTACCAATGCTACGATATTTAACCAATAAGAAAATGTGCTTCCTAGGAACTCTAACATTTTTGTTCCTAAAGAAATAAATCCTCCTATTGGCTGCTATTGGATATCAAGGCTATGTTCCAAAATTCACTGCCAGTACTGAAAATCTAGTGTAAATCACGTAAACTATAGATTTTCATTAGTAGCAGTGAATTTTGGAACACAGCCCAAGTGTGATTGGATATATGTAAAATAACACAGGTTTAACACCATGATATAACATTTCTTTTCAATCGAAAAAATAACATTTTACTTTTTCTCTATTATACATTCCATATCTTTCACTTACAGTTATTATGGGAATAAACAATCTTTTATCATATAGTATAAAAAACAGAGATCAAATATATGAAGTATAAAAAATTATCGTTTTTTCCTATATCATATATAATAAAAAAATCATTATATTTTTATTTATTAATCAGACTTATCAGTTCAATAAATTTTTAAAATAACGTTACATCTATAACACTGCAAAAATAACAATCTTTTATAATTCAATGCAAAATAAAAATAAACTGTAAAATAAAAGTGTACCCATTTTTTTGGAAATTGTAATGTATAGAATATCACATTACTATGCAAATTTAAACAAAACTTTGTTAGAAAGATTTAAAAAATTTTAAAGTATATAATTACAGTCGAAACTAAAATCAATCAGATATTTTTTTTAGATCAATATTAGGACAAAGACAAATCAAATCGACAGCAATAAAGAAAAAATCATATGTAATATCACTATATAGAGTATTAATCTAGTATTATGAAAAATTATCTCAATGAAATATATATCAATGTATGAAAGCTATGATTTCTTTAACAAGAATGCTTTATATGCTTAAATTAAATTAAATTAAATTAAAATAAAACAGAATTATACATATATATATGTAACTATCATCATATATATCTGTACATTCTATTTATAAATATAACAAAATAACAATATAACAAAACAAGATAACAAATTAAAAGCCGAACAGTGATTTAAGATCATTGAGAGTGAGCTTCATAGCAGTATCATTTCTGTCGCCACTTAGTACATTTCTCGCTATTTCGAGTTTTTGTTCTTGTAAAGCTTTTACACGTTCTTCTATTGTATCAACACAAATAAATCTAGAAAAAAATACTCAATACCAAAAAGAAAAATATATGAGCGTATCAGCGTAGAAATTAAACGTGATGTACTAACTTGTAGATATAGACGTTTTTTTTCTGACCAAAGCGATAAATTCTATCTTGTGCCTGTGTTTCCAATTGTGGATTCCAATGAATATCAAATAATAATAAATGATTGCCACCTACCAAGTTCAATCCTACACCACCAGCAGTAAGTGAGAGTAGCAAAATTCTCGGACCGGACTTTTGACTGTTAAAGGAATTTACTACATTCTGAAACAAATACAAAATATATATATGAACATATCTGTTTCTTAAAATACATTAAAAATCACATGCTTAAGTGGCACTAGCAATTTATCATCTATAGCATACTTGGCGATCTTTGATAGCGACATTTCCGGTAAATTTGCTAAATGTAGCATCTTTTATTGAAGGCAAGTGTGATGCTATAACATTTAACAGAGTAGTCCATTGAGAAACGATAATGAGTTTATCCTCACTATTTTGTAAAATTTTTTCAACCATATTAAGCATGATCCTCATCTGAAATTTATATCACGTTTATCATATGTAAAATCATGAAACTTCTTGTATATATTAAATAATACTATTGTCACTCACTTTAGAACTAATGCGATCATCATCAAATACTGGATTCTCAATAGTAAGTAGATTTCCAACTATTCTTTTATCAATATCAACATCTTCTTCTTCCTTATCGATTCCACTAAGCGATATGTTACTCACTCGTGACAATAATTTAGGATCCACATTTTCTGCATTCATTATCCCACTGTGTTTCACATCATCCTGATCCAACATCGCATGAATCAATGCTGGATGACAACACATCTGACGCAATCTTAGTAAAAGCACCAAAATCTCATGCGTTTTTACATCGGCATGCATCGCCAGTAATTTGTCTTGAGCTTTTGAAAATTGTGTCTCTTTAGCTTGAAATAGAAAAACAAGGAACAGATAATAAGTACACATAAAATGTACTGATACATTTTTAATTGTATATAAGTATTTTAATTATACAACTATATATAAGTATTAGTATCTTATTCCAGATTCAATATTCAACTTACTTGGACTTAAAAGATAGGTAGGCACATCATATTTTCCACCATGCAAATCAAACATATGTGCCTTCTCTGCTCTTTGAGCTAAGAACTGTGCGAATAAAGTACGGGAATAAATTAAAATTTTTTCATATACGAGTTGTTCTTGTGGATCGAGTTTCACCATCATTTCCTCGATAGATTTATCGGGTAAATCCTCTACATCGCCTTTTTTCATTAATTCTTGTTTAGTCCTTCTCAGCATCAAGGTCTTCATAACCATCGCTAATCTTTGGTAGCCTGCAGCATTCTTATTATCAACCCATCGTTTCCAAACGCGTAAATCATTAAATGGCGAACAATTGAGAAATTTTAAAATAGAATATAAATCCAATGCTTTATTTTGTATAGGTGTGCCAGTAAGGGCCCACCGTTTATTTGCTTTAAGTTCGCAAACTGCTAAGGATGCTTGACTCTTATGATTTCTTACTATATGAGCTTCATCGAGTATCACTCTTTCCCAATGAATCTGCCAAAAAATTTTAAATTGCGATTAAAATTCAAAATAGATCTCTATTGTTCATATTAATAAAATTTAAAGTTTTTATTTTTGCCTATTTATCAATTAATTGATATTTTTAAGTTTTAATATACCTTATATAATGTAGATTGGGTTTTACGTTCTCGACTTAATATATTGTATGTTGTTATAACAATATCATTTTTTGATAAACGTTTAGGAATACTCTCTCGTTTGCTGCCATGATATATCTCAACAGACAACAAACCATGTTTGCATCTATTTCGCACTTCATTATCCCATTGATGTAATAAAGATGCAGGACATACTACTAGAGTACCACCTTTATGATCTGCAGATAATAATCAGACACAGTTATCTTAATAGACTAATTATTTTATACTTTTATGATAACAATAATTTAAATAAGTTAATATTTCGCGAAGAAAACAGATATATTTAAAAAGATAAAAATCTAATATATAAATTTTTTCCTGCTAAATTTAAAATAAATTTTTACATACATAAAGATTTACGATCGTTGATCCATTTGCTATCATCATCATCGCTTTCATCTATAGAATCTTTTTGAGCAAGAGTGGTCATAATTAAAGATATCATAGTCAGTGTTTTACCTAAGCCCATATCGTCAGCTGTAATAAAAAAAATTTAAGGAAAATTTATATCATATCTGACAATATAATATAAAATCTTTTTTAAATATTCACCTAAAACACCACCAGGCGGTCTTTGTTGTTCTCTCCACAGAAGCCATGCAAGAGCATGTTTTTGGTGTGGCATTAATGGTATTCTTAATCCCCTTGGATCCTCCGCCTTTTCCTTCTCTGATGGACGAGCGACAAGTGATCCATGCAAATCTTGCAATCGTTCGACTGTTAAAGCGAGCTCTCTATTTCTTGTCGCTTGTGCCCTTTCGCCCAATCGTTTTAATTCAGGAAATGTAGTTGGATTGAATGGTATGTTATTAATATCCCAATATGAATCCGAGTCGTCATCTGAACATGAATAATCTGATTCATCCGAATATGAATCTGATTCATCTTTGATGGATAATGGTTTTCCTTTTATTGAATGCGATTGTTTTGATACTTTATTTTCTTGGCTATTTAAATTTTGTACTATAGATGTTTTTTCCAATTCAAGCATCAACTCCTGAATTTCTGTTTCTTGTTCACGTATACTTTCACGCAATCTCTCTCCTTTATCAGGTAATAATTCAATATTTTCTTCAGTGAGCAATAACTAAAAAAAGTTTTTTGTATTTAAGAAAAATATTTTTTTATATGCAGAAATTATTTAGATTATTTACTTTATTAAATATAATTATTACATCTAAAAGTGTAATTATTTCTCTTATTTCTACAATATTATATTAGCTATAAATGGAATTAGGCACATCTTATATTTACTTTTGTTTTAGTTAATTGATCTTTAAGTTGTTCCAATTTGCAAACCATACTTGTCCTTTTTTGTACTAATGAATCTATATTCCTAACACCAATTTCTTGTTTTGCAAAAGATAATGCTGCTTCAGATTCACTGTTTCTTTCGGAACTGGAATCTACAAATTATAGATAATTATATTATATGAAAAAATTAATCCATCCATACATTATCTGCAAATATGTTTGATGTTATATCAATAAGAATACCTGAATCAAGTACAATAGTCACAGCTGCATCATGAGAGGATTCAATTTCCTGAATTTTATGATCTGATATTTCATGGGCAATTTGTGAGTTGTTATCATGACTAATGCTCTTACTTTTTCTATTTCTACTTTCTGTTCTATTGTCATCTTGTTGATGTGAAATATAGTTAAGAGATTCATTAGAAGAATTAAGTTTTAATTCTTTTATGTTTTCCCTAGAATTATTATGACTAACATCCTTCCTTTTCCTACTATTGTTTTCAATTGGTGAATATGAAACAAGAGAGTCTATAAAACAGCACATAATTGAATAAAAATATATAATTCTATTTTCTATTTTAGTAATTCTATTTTCCTAACAAATATAATTTTAAAATATACAAAGTTTTGTTTAATATTGGATAAAATAATCTTTACCTGCAAGATTTTCTTCATCTGAATCAAAATTACACAAATTGTTACTTATATGATATTCTTCATTCTCATTATTTATATTACCATCAGAATCTGTTATTTTCAATTTTCTCTGAGCTGTGCGTTTAGTTAAGAAAGCAACTGGTGTATTATAATCATCACTATCAATACATTTATTTCTGCAAACAAACATTTACAGAAAACATTCATCTTCATAATTTAATAATACATTCATCTACATGTTTTAACACAGAATTATGTTTAATTTAACACGTAATTATAAATATAATTATTTATATTACATGTTAAATTATATATAATAAATTATATATAATTTAACATGTAATATAAATAATGTAATATAATAAAATTATGCATAAAAAGAATAAAAAAACAAAAATTTTTTAATAAAATAAAAAATAGTATTAAAATATAAATGATATAAAAATATAAATAATATTATATAAAGAAATAAAAGAAAATATTATATAATGAAAGAGAGCGAAAAAATGAAAAAAGTAGGGAATATGTCTACATTATTTGAAAATTAAAAGATTAGGAAGATTATGAATATATTGCAGAGAATATCATAATAAATTATAACAAGATATAAATATAAAGGTTTGATAAAATCTTTAACAAAAATAATTCTAAAAATAATAATTCTAAAAATAAATAGAATGTTATAATTTTTTTTAGTAATTCCTTGTGCTTAATAAATCGAATAAGATATAATATATAATTATATATTAATAATAATATATATTATGTGTGTGTGTGTGTATGGTATGCTATTATATTTATTGATTATAGAGATGTTTTCATAGACTGATAAATAAAAATAAAGATAAATGATAAAAATCAATATTTAGAATTCCGAGGTCGCGCGCAAGATACTATTGTAAAGAAGCAACTAGGAAAGATTTTTTTATATATAGAAATCTTTGTTTATATTTATATATTTATTTTCGAGCAAATCAATCTTGAGTCGCCAGATATATGCGTGCACTTTTGCATATAAATTTAATATATGTATATTTCTTTAAAATAGTATTCCTAGTTGCTTCTTTACAGTAGCATCTTACGCGCGACCTCGGATTTCTAAATATCGATTTTTATCATTTATCTTTATTCTTATTTATCAGTCTATGAAAACATCTCTATAATCACAATAAATATAACAGCATACCAAGCGCTCTTATTAACGAATTTTTAAAACAATTAACAAATTTTTCGTTTAAAAAGACGAAATCTTTATAATAAGAAAAATTATTCTATAATTTTATATATATCGACTGCATTTATTGATTGCTTAATGAAACATAGAATAATATTTCGTTATTACACATACACAATTTCGCTAAAATTATATAATAAATTCGATATATAATTCGGTAATTATTTACGCATACTTTATCGATGACCTTAACCTTCACATATATTATTAAAGATGAGGTTGCTGATTTAATTTTCAGTTTGTTTCATTCAGCGGTTTGATATAATTTTTAAGATATTTAACAGAAAAGATTTACTGAGAGATTGAAACATAGTTTTGACACAAGAAAATATATTTATAGAAATATTATTAAAAAAATAATATATAAAAAATAATAAAAAAATAACATAATATATATTTAAAAAAAATATATATTATATACGTATATATGAAATTTTCTTAAAATACACACTGCATGTTCAATGTATTTCAACAAGATTTCAACAAGATTTGATTTCCAATAATCAATAAATAATTTCAAATCAAATAAATTATAAACATAAAAGTAGTTTCTATATATAAAAAAATTAGATATATTCTTACATCGATAAATATATTGTCGCGGTTCCTTTGTCCCAAATGCGAACAATGTTGATTCTCGCGTAGTGAAGAAGTGTCATCGGAATTTGATCTCGACGAAACAATAACGATTAGCGATAATACACTTTTTTTGATACTCACTTTTCGAAAGTCGAGTTTGTTGAAACATCGGCATCCTCGTTGCAGCTCTCATCGATGACAAACGCGCGTTTGTCATGTGTCCCAGTAGCAGAACTTTTGACGATGTCCTCCTCATCGCTATCAGAAATGACGATGGATTCACCGTCTAACAAGTGCCTCGAATCGTACGACTGTGTAATGCTCTCCTCCATTGTTCACGATTAAGATTGTATTATTCACGATTCCGATTCCTTGGCATATAACTGTCTCGTGATCTCGTAAACTTCTAACGCATTTAATCCTGCTCGCTTCTTGTTTCGCTGATAACTTGTATAAACTCGCATCGACATGTACGCAACTGAACTTTGAATCTATTGCCAACATAATTTATATTTGAAACATGATTGATAATTCACTTCATTTGACACTAAAGTTTTGAATCGTTCAATTGATCAATCGAAGGAAAGAGATCCTTATCACCTTCATTCTGATTGGTCGATCGAGAAAAATTATGAAAGTTTTCAGTCTATGTTTCATATATTTTCAGTTATAATTAAAAATTAAATGACCGCATTCATCGGACAACATTACTAGATGGGCAACATTACTAGATTTTCCGATGTAATTTGATGCTGATTGGTCGGATCTGAAAGTAGAAACCAATCATGTTCGATTGTTACTTAGCTGTTAAGTCCGCTGAATGCGACCAATCGAATTCAAGCCGGTATTACAGTCTTCCTTCTTGAGGTAGAAAGAAGGTATATTATCAGGGGAGGATCCCAGTTGCACACAGAATGAAACGGACACAACCAATCATATCGACCGATGCTTAGAGGCTTAGTACGGTTAACCAATAGAGAGTCCTATATCCGATTTATTCTATACACAACTGGGCCTCACTCTATTATCAGTAAACACGACAGTACATGACAGTGTGCCTGTAATCACCAATTTATAATATGTAATATTACTGTATGAAAAATGTTAAAATATTATTTTTGAATTAAATCGATTCCCCGAAAAAAAGAAAGTAAATAATTTATTATGGAATAAAGTGTTTATTAAGAATGGCAGCTCTAATGAAGAAACGAGTCCTAGCTGAATTCACTCAGAGCCAGGTAATAAGATAGTGTATGATATTTCTTTCTCTTCACAAAATATAAGAGAATTACTATTTTTTTATGAATTACAAAATTATTCATCTAGGTTATAAATGAACCGCCAACTAAACGGTTAAAAACTCTAAGGCTATTGTCAACGAGTGGTGCAAAGACCAGTACCGAAGGCAGTTCAGCATTAGCTTATATAGAATGTCTTGAGAAATGCAAGAGTGGAAATGATGCATTACAATTGCTTGTTCGTATCTCGGATTCCATAGCATATATAGCACCAGAGGATGTTCCTATAGCTGTAAAAAAGCTAACGGAAAGATTTGTTGTTGAGAATGAAGCTGCAGTTCGAGCTAAGATTTTTTGGGTGTTTGCTGAATTGGGAGAAGTGACACCAGATACAGTGGAAAAAGCAAAAATTGTAAATGAAACAGCTGAACTTTTAAAAAATGAAGAATCACATAGAGTAAAAAGTCAGGGATTAGCAACGCTATTAAAATTGGGAGATTACCAAAGGTATATAATTTCCTATCTTATTTTGTCTGTTATCTTATCTTATCTTATCTTTTCTCTATATGTGCAATTAAAATTTATCTTAATTTAAAAAAAAGTTAATAAGAGTAAGTATTTTAATTTTTTTTTTCCAGAACACTTGTATTGAAAATTGCACAGGATCATCTACCTGATACATGGCATGGCGTTCAAACACGGTGTCTTTCTATTATTGGACGTTACCTAACAGCAAATGCTGCAGATGATACTTTAACATTAATTGGCAATTATGCTCATTCTCAAGATCCAAGAGTACGTGCTCAAGCTTTTGAAACTATGGCAGAACTGCATTCTCATAGAGGTTGTAGACTTTTGGCAAGTTTCTTTAAGGAAGCATGTGCAGCTCTTCGGGATGATTATGAAATTGTACGCCGAGTTGTTTTGAAACTTATCTGGCTTTTGGGCAAGGAATATCCAGAAAAGTTAGTAATATAGGAATATAAATATATTTAAAAAATAAATTTTTCTTAAACTTCTTTTACATACTTTTACAGTATTGTTGTTGGATCTGATGGAGAAGATATACGTATGGTGGATTGCGCTTTTTCACAAATTTGCAGCCTCATGGGTGATTTATCACCTCGTGTGAGAGCTTCAGCAATGTCCCTTTTAGGAACAATGAAAAGTGTATCGCGTCGTTATATAGAGCAAGCATTGGATAAAAAACAAAAAGTAGTAGAAACAGACAGATCTGAAGTTGAAGAGAAAAGTGGATCCTGTGGGGCATTTATTCATGGTTTAGAAGATGAATTTTTAGAGGTATAAATTTATGCAATATGCGATATGCATATACAGTTTCATTTTGTTTAATCCAATCAAAAGCTTTTTATTGATATATTTTAAATAATTGTATAACTAAGAATTTGTTTCAGTTAAATTTATTCCATCTATTTTTTCTATGATTGCTTTCTATATTGATTATTTTTTGTAAATAAACTTTATTTTAGGTAAGAACTGCAGCAGTTGAAGCACTTTGCACGCTTTCACTAGAACAACCGAGTATAGCTAGAATTTCATTGGACTTTATGGTGGATATGTTCAACGATGAAATTCAGGACGTTAGATTAAGAGCTATCGAATCTTTAAGGAAAATGTCAACAAGCGTGACTCTACGAGAAGATCAATTGGAAACAATTTTAGGTGCGTTAGAAGATTTCTCAGGAGAAGTAAGAGAAGGTCTACATGCTATGCTAGCCGCTAGTCATCTTGCCACCACAAATTGTCTTTACATGTGCGTTAATCGCTTGCTGGATAATCTAACTCGTTATCCTCAAGATAGAGAAAGTATTAGAAGTTGTTTGGCAGCATTAGGTGCATCACATCCATACTTGACGTTACCTCTAGTACCACAACTTCTCGGACGACATCCTTTTTTCGACACACCCGAACCAGATGTAGATGAACCGTCTTGTATCCTTTTTTTATTTTTATATGCTAAATATTATTTTATATTTAAAAATTTCATTTGATATCCTTAACTTCTTGATAACAGATGCAAGTGTGCTCGTTTTAATATTTAACGCCGCATTACATTGTCCAAGTATGCACGCTCTATTTACGGAACATGCTTCCAAGCATTATCACTATTTGCGCGATACTATGCCGCATCTAGTTCCACGATTACGACCAGCGCTTACGAGCGGATCGGGGATCAAAATGGAAAATATAGATAACGAGGAGAATAGAGATCAACGTGGTCGAGAGTTTTTAGAGAAAATGGTAGCTGGAATTGAAAATGCCAGACCAGGAGGCAAAGTTCATACACAACTATTAGAAGCCGCGGCAATTGACCTTGATCGTTTAGCAGAGATGGATCATCATATGGAAGGTGCAGCACGTTTCACTGCCCTGTATATTCGATGTCTGCTATTATTGAAGTCCATTCTCAAAGAGTTTTCCGTCTCATCGGGGACATCTATTTCGGCTAATCCAATACCGAATACTAGCAACAACATTTCTGTTCTTCTTCAACACGCCCAAAAGTACATACTCTCAATACACATTTAGAAAGTCATCTTGCTATGCTTTATAAAGAATTTAATATAATAAGGAAATTTATTCAGTTATGTTTACATTATTTTCGCATTTTTTTCTAGATTACAACGCTTATTTACTGGATTAGGCGAAACTGAAATTATATTGGCTAATGATATGTGGTTGAAAGCACTCTCTATAGAATTAGTTAGGGTGACCAAAAGCGCTACCGGTAGCGCATTACCATTGGCTCGTCATTTTTTATCAGAAGCTGACGCTTTACCTCAAGATACGTCAAAATTACCACCGTTTTCTAAAGCTTTAGTTTTACAGATACCTAGTCTAGCGGACGTAAAGCCAGGTTCCTTGACGCGCCTGTTATTACCATTGCTCTTGACGCCGATGGCGCAAGGAGATGAACGATTACCAAGACCATCGGCGACGACACGCTTTTGTCGAGCGCATATCGACGAACCACGGGGTGATGCCGATGCTGCGCTTAAATTCACAGGTGGCCTCTTATTGGGAATCCCTCTGAATGCAAAGATATTGAATCTACGCGATCCGGCTACACTGCGAATAAAACTGAGACATCCGGATCAACAAGTGCAATTACTGTTACCACGACAGTCGGATTTGCGTGTGCAGCATTCCGATCAGAAAGATTACAGATTGAGGACGACAGTTCTTTTATCGCATCAAGTATGGATGGAGCCTTGTAATGTAGAAATCTCCTTGGCACTATTGGTACCATCTTCATCAATTTGTACACACTCACCTTTAGATGATCCATGCGTGATTGATTTATGTAAACCTACTAAGGTATCAATTGCACCGAAAGCTATCAAAAGAGGCATATGAATACATTATTATTACAATAATCATTTGTATATTTCCCTTTTCGAAGATTTATATTTTGTACATGTCTCTTTATAGATTAAAATTTAATATTTTATTATTTTTCACTTGAGTGAGAAATAGCAATAAAAAATATAAAATTATAGTTGTTTTTGATCATTCCCTCTTGCTTATTATAAATAATCGAGTAAATCTTGCTCGTTTAGATTCGGAAGTGTAATATTAATCGATTATTGTTTTGATGTGAATGATGACATTTTATTATAAAACCTAATTTTGTTTTCATTTATTACAACAGTAGAAGAGCACATTTTTCTTTTCATAAAAAGTACATTTTTCTGAATATAAAACAATATCCACACAATTTATAATTATTCTTGGCTTCTATTCAGTGTGAATGATATATAACAATTTTAAAAATAAGCCGTGCAACCGTACTTTATTCACCTCCAACTAGAGAACGAGCTGCCGCTGTAATAAAATAATCGTTATTTATAATTTGCTATCTGCATTTTCATATATATATATATATATATATATATATATATATATATATATATATATATCTTCTTTTTCAATTAGTAATATCGTATCAAGTTAAGTGTTATCAATTCAAAATTTATTGATATAAATGTTACATACGCAGTGAATGTAGGTTTCTCTGGTTCTGGATTCTTTTGTGCTAAACTATCAAAACTGAGACCACCTGATTGATTGGCTAAAGATTCAAATGTACTGCTACCTGCTACTTCTCCAAATAGTTTTGGCATGTTTTCCATTGTAGAACTGCCTTGCATAATGGATGGACTTCCAAATCCTATTTATAATATTTTTTTTTATTATGACAGATATACAAAATGATATAATTAACTATATCTGATATTTGGAATTAATTTTTGTGCAATATTTCCATAAGATTAATAAGAACATTGTGTATACATTTTAGTTGATTTCAAAGAAACTAATAATAAGATAAGAGAAGGAGACTTCTCCCTCTCCCTCTCTCTATCTTTTTCTTTTATTCATATAAAGATTTTTCAAGATAGAAATGTAAACTGTGTTATACATTCTTTTGTTTATATAAATAATTTTAAGAATATTATATATATTAATGAGCAACAGATATTTACCCATGCCAGAAGATTCAAACACAGGGGCTGTGCCGAAACCACTTGCGGGTTTTGAGGATCCGAAGATAGGTGACGATCCAAAGACCGGTTTGGTGCCGAAAGTAGAAGCCTGTCCAAAAGCAGGTTGATTACCACCAAGCATAGGTTGCTGTATCGGAGATGCGTTAGACATAGTAGAGCTAAAGACATTTGTTCCCGCGGAAGAACCGATCATCGGAGATGCATTACTCATCGCGCTACCAAATGGAGAAGTAGCTGAAGATGTATTCGCTGTTCCGCCGAACATTATATCGGATTTCGGAGTGGTATTGAATATAGATTCCGATGGAGCTGATGTACCGAATCCTGTCGCGTTACCACCAAAGATATTTTCGCTCGGGGAAGATAACGGAGCTGATCCGAAGATGGAATTCATGCTGTTACCTCCAAATATAGAAGTATTCGATGATGATGGAGTGGGCACATTGGAGAATACGGAGTTTCCGGTATTACCAAATGGTGAAGCAGGATTGATTAGTGGCTTTGTGAAGACATTCACTGCAGATGATGCGGATATCTGAACGCTCGGGAATTGTGCGTTCGATACCGGAGATGCTATCGGGCCGCTTTTACTGAATGCCGGCGTAATCGAAGCTGCTGATGCCGCTATCCCCGCCGTTGTTGTTGTCGTTGTCGTCATTATCGTAGAAATACCGAATGGGATTGTGCTCGCAGAAACATTACTAGAGCTAATTCCATAATTTGCAGCTGGTATACTAGTGGTGGTAATTTCGCCAAACATTGGCTTACTCAGAGAACTCTGGAAAGGAGACGGGGTGCTGCTGCTTACAGATGTTACCGATGAAGAAGTGACAGTAGTGCCGGCAGATGTGTTTGACGTCAATCCACTGAATACTGATGTGGTCGATGCTGGAGTTGATGTTCCAAATGTAGATGTAATCGACGGAAAAGCGACTACACCAAAAGTAGTTGTAGCAGGCAGTGTTGTAGTTGTCACTTCTGGAAGCGTGTTCTTTATAACTTGGCCGCCAAATATCGGTGTTGCGGATAATGAAATTGGAGGAACTTGGGTAGCTATGGATCCAAAATTAAATGTTGCTTCAGACGTAGTAATCTTTTCAATGGTGGCCGGATTAATGGGTGGCATTTCCATCGATTTACGTTGAGTGATGTTCGGATCTACAAGGCTGATAGTAAGTCCTCCGATAGTTGTAACGGGAGAAATAGCGGCAGTCATCGTGGGAACCTGTGTTAGAGCAGGAGCAAGTGCAGCAAAACTCATAGGAGGCGCATTTGTATTTATCTTTCCATTGACATTGTTGTTTGAATGATTCGTCGGCTGAAGAGTCAACGACAAAGCCGATAGGTCTATCGACGTTTGCATCGGTGCTTGAACTGCCGTTATGGATGGTTCCACGGTGGTATTTGATGTGGATTTCGAATAAACTGCGTTACTAGGTGTAGCAAAACTGAATGTAGAAGCAGCATCTGTTTTCACGGCTGGTGCTACGGAAAGCGATGGAAGATTACGAGCAATTCCTGTACGAGCAGTTTCTGTTAACGGATATTCCGTTGATAATACATCCTTTAACGGTCCGGTCGAGGATAAAGCAGAATCCGGGCCTTTAGGGATGCTATCATTGAGCGTAGATTCCTTATTGTTTTTGGCAGTTGTATCTGTAAGAGAAGATTTTGGAAAAATGATATCTTGAGATTTTAGCGTTGATGTTCCGAATGTGAGATTAATAGACGATGGGAAGTTAACATTAAGGTCCTGTTTCGCTTTGGACTGAGACACTATGGAAACTGCTGGTGGAATAATCTTCTTGTCTATTTGTTTGACAGACATCGCTGGAGAAAAAGAGACGGTTGTAGGAAGCGGTTTTTGCTGAATTTTCTGAGCAACGATACTGTTGTTCATATCGGACGAACCGATTCTCGCAACAATGCTGTTCAACGAAGCGAGGGGACTTTGTGCCTTCATCTGCTTCTGATCAATTGCTGTCTGCTGTTTGACAACGGTGTTTTGTTTAATAATTGATGATTCAATCTTGGTCTTAGTTTCAGTGACCGCAGGACTGAGAGATGCTAGGGAAGACAATGTGGCTTTTAAGCGATCTTGAATTGGTGACGGATTCACTGGCTTAATAATTCTCGGGGATGATTCGGTAAGTAATGCCTTTAGTTTAATTTGTTTTTCAGGTGTAAAACTTAAAGTCCTCGAAGCAATAGTTTTACAACGAGCGTCAATAACGTCGGTTTTTCGAATAGTCGACGATTTTTCATGCGAATTCAAATGCAAATTCGCCATCGAACGGTTAAGATTACCGGGTATATTACCGGTTGTGTATAACAATGAGCGATTAAGAGACTTCCATTGTCGTAAAATTTGTTCAAGCTTCTCTTTTTCTTTCGCAATAATTTTGTTATGTACCAGGAGATTCTGATATATGTACTCTGAGCTGGGAATTTTCATCTTCGACCTCTCTTGTGCTTTATGCTCCGACCATTCCAGATCCAAAATTTTACTAACTTGATTGAGCTGTGTCTGTGTGTAGTAATAACATCGTTGCAAATCTGCTATTTTACTGTTATCGCTGCAATTTCTGCCAGTGATGTCAGCAGCAGCTGCATTCTTGGATTTAGTTTCTTCAACCCATGCGAATGATTGAAGTAACAAAGCTTTCGAGTATGCAATATCACTGGACAAACTATTAGTAGTGTCTCTTAAATCTCTCAAGAATTGTTCTATGACGGCGGATATCTCTCCAAGTCGTTTTCTTTCTTCATCCGTACCGCATTCCCATACTTGTGGTTCCAATCTATTTCGTAATTCTTTCTCGAACAATGCTTGCTCCTGCAAATAAGCACGCATCCGTATGCTGTCATCTATGGAAGCTTTTTGTTCCATCACTTGCGGCGAACTTGCTTCTTTATCTGCTGCCACTAATTTGGTTTCTGTCTTTGTAGGCTCCAGCGCTGGTATTTCTTTGGGCACAATGGGCTTTGTAGGTGCAAGTGATGCAACTTTTTCTTCTTGCGACTTCGGTTGTATTATTGACTGTTCTACAGGTTGTTGAAAGAATCCCGCTGCTTTCAGAGAATCCCCAAATATATTCGTCATCGGAGCGGATTTTAATCGTTCAGATGCAATCTCTGGTTGTTTCGGACGTGGTGTGCTGGTCACCGCGGCGTTAATAGTAAATGATATTTCCGTGGATGAAGTAGGCTGCGACAGAATTGGTGCTGTGATAATCTCTGTAGGATGTATATTGATGGCAGGACAATTGGGTGTCAAATTGACCATGTGAAAGCTACACAATTGTCCAGATGTTCCAAGAATATGTAAAATGGGAACCGGATGTGGCAATGTGGTATCTGTACCCCAGGGTAATTTGTTAATTGGAGATTTGTCCACAGCTAATCCCAAAGGATAAATTTCCGTGGTTCTCATCAGAGGCAATTGAGCTCTACCACTGTCAACCAATTGCCATTGATTCCAATTTGCACCCCCGTCTGTAGTACCTAATACAGCTATCTCACTACTGGTACTACTACCTGCTATGATAAGTCCCCATTCCGGCACATGTTCGAAATAATAACGAAGAATACTTCCCTCTCCCTCGGCATCAGGAAAACCGTAGGTAATATCTTCAAAACATGTAAATGTAGCGTTTATCTCTCCCTTTGGCGCATCGATGATGAGAACATTTGTATGCCGCTCGCTGTTCAAATACGCGGCACAAAATTGATAATTACTGATCCACAGGATACTAATCACTTCTCCAATAGATGGAGAAGGACCTGCGATAGTTCTGGCAATCTTCAATGTATCTGGTTTCAGTTGTACAATATCTCCATTTTTACAACCAACCGCTACTTGTTTGCCTTTGGGACTCCAGGCTGCGCATAGAGCTTGCGGTTCGTTCGATATGTTGGAGAGTATAGATATTTTTGGTACAGAATTTTCGTCTATTCTTAATTGGAAACTGCCGATAGTGCAATCACTAGTAATAGTGCAAAACATTGTAGGTACAGTAGGATTCCATCGTATATCTGTCACATAACTATCTAGCTTGTATGATGATGTTGTTTCAATTAATAAGTTAAGACTCTGAAAATTAATATATTCATTAATAACAAAAAATATTCAATTTCTATAAGTGCTTCTACAATATTGTAATAAATTCAAAAGTTTCGAGATTTTTGAAAAAATATGCTATGTGCATACATTTCTAGTTAAAGAATGGGCATCATATATCAATATTGTAGACTTCAGTGCTACTGCTACAGCAATATAATTATAATCACAATTAATTGCAATTTTTGATACAACGCTTGGTAATTGGAGTTCTATCTTCCATTCTGCATTATTTTCCTCTGCTGGTTTTAAGACAGTAATTTTATCATCATGTCCTATATAAAGCAATCCTCGCTTTTTGTCAGCTACAAGAAGATTACAAGCGGCAGGAATATATGTCGGAGTTTTCAAATCAAACACTTGAGATGTATTTGATTGTTTAAATAGAAATTCCTGAAAATATAAAAACAATAATTTATAAAAGTTGAATATCAAGATATTATATATCTATACTTTTCTTATAACATTTAAATTCATGTAATATTTAATTTTAATGTATCGAAAACAAATATTATTTATGTCGATTGTTTAAAAATATCTTATTGCGTTTGAGAATTTTGTTAAGCAACAAATTAATATATATAATCTACTTATATAATCTAATTGCTCCAAAATCTAGACATTTAAACATCCCTATGTTGTTTATACTAAATAATGTCTATTGAACTTTTATACAATAATTCGGTGAAAAAGTAATTTATTTCGTAAGAAAAAATAAGTAAAAAGAATATGTAATAAATGATTGTGAATAGATGCGTGATTTTCATTAAATATGACGTTTAATATAAACATTCTCGCCGGTTGTGCTACGATCTACTAGACGTACAATTTCCGTTATAATAAAATGACATCCGATACCTGCACATATATTGGATCCGGCGCCGTCTTCATCTCTAGATGTTTTACAATATCTTCTCATAAATAATAAATAGCAATAAATGAGAGATTAACGTATATCCAACACGGAGCATGCACACGTTTTAACCAAACTTCAACAGACTTCAACAAACACTAAAATACAACTTGCATGATAGCACTCCAATGTTTTGGATTACAAGAATATAAAATGATTGCATTTACCGTAACATAAACAAAGGATGCATTCCACTTGAGTTACGAGGGATTTATTCGAAGCGTTTAATAGACCAATTGGAGTAAAGAAATTTTTGTCCCATTATGATTGGTCAATCACGAGAAGAGAATTTTTTGTCCACTTTTGAGAAAAGCTTAATTTTGTGTAAACGAGCTCAATCTACTTAATTCAAACTTTTCATGTGACATGCATATGAAAAACCCATATGAAAATTATTTAAACCTAAATTAGCGATTTTCTGTCTCTAAATCAATCATTGACTAAAAAAAAAAGAAAAAAAATTAACCTAGCCACGTAGGAGAGAAATGAACAGAATAGATCATCTGTGTGTATAGTGCTTTAATTAAAATCGAATATTTACATTTAAAAAATGAATAAAGAAAGAATAATAAATCAATGTTTTGATTTTTAATGTGTGTGTGACAGTGTAAATACAACGCAATGTCAGATAAAACGGTATTTGTTACGGTTGGTACAACAAAATTCGATAATCTGATAACTACCGTACTAAGTCGCGAAGTTTTGGAGGTAGTTATAACAATGTTATTTATTTTACATTATATAAAATCTAATTTATTAGAGCATTTCCATGTTTATAATTACTGTGGCGATTTTAGGCCCTGTCGGCGCGTAATTACAGACATCTAATTTTGCAAATTGGCAATAGTAACTTAGAACCGGATTGCACCGCACGTTATGGTTTCGATAAAATAGAAACTTTTAAATTAAGTCCGTCCATTGGAAAGTACATGCAATCAGCAGATCTTGTGATAAGCCACGCAGGTGCAGGAAGCGTATTGGAAGCTTTGGAAAAACGTAAACATTTAATTGTAGTGATCAATGATCTTCTCATGGATAATCATCAAATAGAGTTAGCTGAGCAGTTATACAAGGACGAGTATTTATATTACTGTACTTGTCAAAACTTATTGTATATTGTACAAACAATGGACTTCACAAAATTGAAACCATTTATTAATGACAAAAGTGCAGATATTGCTAATTTTATTGATAAAATAATGGGATTTAGATGATGAAATAGTTTCATCTTCCATAGAACATATGGTGGAAGATTGACTGTTTTTTAATTTCATAAAAGTCAAGTAGCTGTGGGAACAAACAGCAATATTTATATATATATTTCAATCTTTAACATGTTTTACAGTAAGGATACATGATCCATAGAGTTCAGATTTATTACTATCATAAGTGTAATATATTACGCTTAATATAATTTACAATAATAATACATTGTGTACTTAAACAACCATTCTTCAAAAAAACTATGTTTAAATAGCATAGAAAAATTTATAACTTTGCGTTAGTTGAAATTGTGATAAGTCAATGGCAGTTCAACGTTCCCTTGGATAATTTGTAAATTATTCTCGATAAATATCTGCCACTACTGAAGCAATGGCTAATGTAAATGTATTATAAACAATTATATATGCTTGCAGTTGAAATAAATTCATTCTTTAAAAAATATCAGTATCTTTTATATTTCACTTTGATCTATATATATATATATATATGGCAATGAGAACAGTTGATATATTATTAAGTGAAATTATTCTTTTTCATATTTTAATATATTACACTACTATGTTCTGTGTGAGTTATTGCTGTATGGTGTACTTTCAATTTATTTTTCATGAAGATACATGAACATGAAGAAAACTACACAGAATTATAGTAGTGCACGTCTTTTAATTACAAACCAAACCAAGTCGTGTCATTTCCTTTAGAAGTTCATTACCCATTTGTGCAGGACTCCTTGTTACTATTACACCAGCCTAATAATAAAATTCATATATATTTCATATTCATATTCATATATATTTCATTTGATATCTTTTTTTATATATAATAAAATATATAAAATTGCTACTCACTTTTTCAAGTGCATTAATTTTATCTTGCGCACCACCTCTTCCTCCTGAGATTATAGCACCAGCATGTCCCATTCTTCGTCCAGGTGGTGCAGTAATACCAGCAATAAACGATACTACTGGTTTAGCTTTTCCACCCTACAATATAATATACATACATTGTAAAAATATAAACAAAATATGGCATTAAATTCTATGATTAGGATTCTATCTTGAGGATGAAATAAAATAGGATTTGGTTAGGATTTGGTCAGGGATTTGGGTACCAATAACTCTGAACAGCAACCAACAGTATTCTTCTCGATGAGATATTCTGCTGCTAATTCTTCTGCACTGCCACCAATCTCTCCTATCATTATGATGCCATCGCATTCTGGATCCGTAAGAAATACATCTAAACAATCGATGAAATCAGTGCCATTGAATGGATCACCACCAATACCAACACATAATGTTTGTCCAAGTCCAGTCTTGAAACAAAGCATTACTTTAATATATTTAATATCTTATTAAAATATATATATATATATATATATATATATATATATATAATTATTAAAATATGCTTACAAGGGTCGTTTGATTCACAGCCTCGTAAGTTAGAGTTCCTGATCTTGATACAATACCAATCTTTCCTTTTTGATGTATATGACCAGGCATAATACCAATTTTACACTAGGATATTAGATATATAAAAAAGAATACATATATATATTTTTTGTTCTAAAAAGATTTCAAGTTGTCTTATTTCTACATACCTGTTCAGGTGCTATTATTCCAGGACAATTTGGACCAATTAAACGTGATTTATTTTGTTCAAGCAATCGCCTCTTTACTTTAACCATATCATGCTGAGGAATACCCTCTGTAATGCAAACAATTAAAGGCATCTCAGCATCAATCGACTCCATAATGGCTGATGCTGCAGCTGGAGGAGGAACATAAATGACTGATGCAGAAGCTCCAGTTGCTTCCTTCGCCTATAAAATATACTAGTTAATTTACTAAAATACTATAGTAATAAATATTGTAAAACGATAGCAATATTCAACTCACCTCCTTAACTGTTTTAAATACTGGTTTTCCAAGATGTTCTGTACCTGCTTTTTTGGGACTAACACCACCTACTATCTTTGTACCATAATCAATAGCTTGTTGACAATGGAAAGTTCCTTGCTTTCCAGTAAAACCTTGACATATCACTTTGGTATTTGCATCAATCTTTAAATTCTTCCTAGTTTCTGTATAATTAAATCTCACTTGAGAGCGTAATAAACTTCCACAGTTCTTGACTGAAAAATTACAAAGGATAATTGTAATTTTATATAATAATAGTAAATGCTAATAAGTCGATGATGATAGAATTAAGATATCATATGTATGAGATATAAATATATAAATAGAATATATTTATTATTTAAAAATATTATATCCATAAATGATATAAAAAACTGATAATAAAATATAAATTGTTCTCTAAAAAAATCTATTTTATATTGTATACAAAAATATTTTAGTAACATTATACAATTACAAACAAAAAGTAGATTTAAATTGCCTTCATTATTCTTAGTAATATCAAATTTCAAGATTTCTAGCCCAGTCTTCTCCCTAATTACATGTAATGAATGTAATCTGACATTTCAAGAGCATCATGAAAGAAAATAACAAGAAAATTGATTAAAATATATACATATATATAAAATATATTATTTAAAACGTTTATTATTCTAAGAATAGAAGATAAAAGGATAGATATCGTTGAAATTAATTGAAAGTTATCATCGTAAAAAGGATCGCGATTATTACAGGAGGGAACAAATCATTCAATTGCTTCTCGCATAATACAAGCTCGTATATCGTTCTTAATTAGGGAAACGCGCATTTTGTTATAAGATGCGACTCTATACGGTGCGATTTTATGTTCTTTCTTATATAATAAAATATTATTATGACAAGGCTGTCAGCATTATTTTTAGTCCGTTCATAGGCTGCGCGTGGCGTAATCAAAACAAGAAAAAAATCTCAGGATATTGCTGTTCAAATGTGCAAAAGTCAAACGAACATTGGAAAGACAAGGAGATATTGCGGGATCTGCGAAAAAAGAATGATACGCCCACCTGAAAATTTTGAAAATGCCCTGGCAGCCACAGCCATCTTTTAAATTGTTCTTTTCGCTGAGGCAATGCTGAAAATTAAATTAACACCGGACCACCATTAAAAGTGTTGTAGGTACTGTGATCTGACAAAAAGGTCAAGTCCAGGAGAGAGTATCATATACAGACAGCGCAGATATCATACAGAGTTGGCTTGATCGAACCACGAACTTGCGAGAAAATAGAATCGAAGATCGCTCTTTAAATGCCTCAGCTGATTGGCTGCGAATAGAGGATCTGTTTTACTGGCGAATTTTCATTTTGTCTTTCTATCAATTGAATTATTTAGAACTTATTATATCATAAATTATTTAAAAACCGAGATATATATTTCGGTTTCTAATTTCATTTTAATTCCAATATTTTTCTGTTCTATATTTTTGGACACGCTATGTATATATGTACTATTTTTTAATTTAAAACATATTACAATTTGATACTTTGAAACTTGAACAAGCCTTTTTTCAGCGTCAAAAGACATCACGTGACGAAAAAATTAACAAATTAGTAACTATTTTTAGAAAATGAATGTCGACATGAAAAGGCGCCTTTTTCCCCGATTGATTTAACCCAAATTTCTAGTCTTTCTATTGGTCCATCTAGTGAAAAACCTTTGGCACCAACGTTTGAATAACCAATCACTGTTCCGATTCAGCATCAAATGAACACAGCGGAAGCGTCCCGTTTGACCACGTTGCGATTGACCACAGCCAATTATATCGACCTGTGCCTAGGGTAACCAGCAACGATTAACCAATCAGAGAGTCCTATTTTGAATTGGCCAATTGGCGACGTGGTCAATCGGGTGCCACCCGAACACAGTCATAGAATACCTGCGGCGCAGGAGATAGCGAAAAGGTAGTATACTGTACGACCAACGGAACTTTTAAATAGTCAGCGTGTAGTTGACGAAAGGTACGATTGATGGTATCGCGATTGCCAGATGTGCATATTATGCTAACAGGGAGGGAGACCCGTCTCTCTACATCAATCTACATAAATTCTTTTCGATTTCATCATTTATATATTTTATACTGACATAAAAGAATTATATATACTTGCACATTTTTTTTTGATAGATAGCAATTTAATCAAATTTCTAGTGTCTCGGCTTCCAAGGTAATATCGGGGTATGTGAAAATATGATTTAAGTAACTGCGCGGAGTCACGGAAAATAAATCTTATAAAAATGACGTGGTGAAGATACGCTTATCGTTTGATGAAAGTGTCGGAGGAATTGTAAGGTAATGTACATTTTCGGCATACACGAATTATTTTACCGTGGTATTGATCCAAGATTTGATTGTAATAGGATATAGTAAAAGAGATCTCGGAGGTATATATCTAAAGTTTCATTATATCTTTGGTAGTATCATGCAAAACTTGCTTCCTGTAACTCGATATCGTTTTCAGTATCGAAGTTGTGCAACGCGCAAACATTGCCATTAAGAGCGAAAAATTTTTAATCGTCGAAGCTGAGCTTTTTTTTTATTCAGATTTTTGCTATTGTACATTTGAGCTTGCATTCCAAAAAAAAAAATTTTTTTTCATTACTCCAAACTTAAATTTGCAAATTTTATTTTGAGAATTAACAGAATTCTCATTATTGTAATTTTGAATATATTGTAGAGGTAGAATGGAGGAAAATACAAGTTCACAAAATGTTTGGCATAAAGGTAAGCCTGAAGAACAAAATGAGCTATTTCAAGCAGAATCTACAACTGCGTCTGTAGAAGCTCATTCTACATCGTTAGCTGATATATTTGATACGGCATTTACATCAACAGTTGATCCATCTCCGCAATCTCGGTTTCCTACTGGTATATATGAGAAAGCTGATAATTTTTTAATTAGTAACTGTATAAAATATATTTTAATAATTTCTAATAGCATAATGTATATATACATATAAAATAAATCAATACATCAATCATACATATAAGATAAATCAAGCATCTGATTTGTAGGTAATGAAATGGAGTATGAGCATTTATTTGCAGACAGTGATATTGAGGAATCAGAAGTAGCAGCTATAGATCCTTATACAAATTCAGCTCATCCTACTACTTCTGATAATAATTTTGTTTATGGGAATTATTTAACACCACCAGATACAACTAGTGATTCACAGGAATATTGGCAATCTAATCTTTTAAATTGTAATATGTGCCAAAATAAGCAAGAAAGAAATTCTAAGAAAGAGCCATCAATTCGACAGTTGAATAATTCGTGCGAGGAAAGATTATGTGATAATTATAGGACAAAAAGAATTTTGCATGATCGTGATTTGGCAATCAAACATAAAACTAAAAGAAGTGAAGAGCAAAAGTTATTGAGTGGTCAACAACCAGATAATTTGAGTATAGCTGGACCATCTAGATTATCAGATCATCCTATTTCAAACAAGTATTTATAGCTTATTACATTTGTATGCATATATATTAGTTATTTTCATGATATATTATTAATACATATAAATATTATTTTATTTGCAGTATAACAACAGCAGATATCCTAGAAAATGTAGGAGATCATAATTTGAGTTTGGCTATTAGTTTACATCGTGAAGCATATAATTCAAATGTATTACCTCATCAAGAAGTGAAATCGGTGCATACATCTCGTATGTTTAGAGCATTTATAATATATTAAATATACTTAATTAGTTATTGTTAAATAGTTAATTTTTAAATTTTAATAGAAAATGATGACACACCATCTGCACCAGATTTGCAACTAGATTGGTCGTCTAGTAGTGATAGTGATGATGAAGATAGTTCAGTTGAAGTACTTGGTACTGTTAATCATAATGTCAAGGTATGTAATGCATATAAATAAAAAAATCTTTATTATATAAAACTCATCAATATATATATATATATATATATATATATATATATATCATCATATATATATATATATACATATACAGTTTGTATATGTATAAGATTGTACATATAAAAAATATTAGTACGTATATTATAAAAATTTTATTTAAAAAAAATACACTTTTTACATTGTTATAGAATTCCTTAGAAAATACAAATGAAGATAATCGTACAGTTACTGTAGTTGATTTAACTGTAGAATCTGATGAAGAACATACGCCGTCAACATCGGCAAATCCTGTAGCTAACAATCCATGGTTGGCAGAGTATAATAGGTGAATAATAAATGTATTCTTAAAAAGTATTCTTAAATATTCTTAAATAATTTTTTTCTCTCAAATTGTGATTATTTTTTATATAATTATTGTAATATAAAATCTTTTTTAGAAGTAATCCACACTGTGCGCGTAGATTCCCAGGCATGGATTATTGGAATTTAACACATCATACTAACATGCATAATAGAGGCACGTATCATAATCACAGAATGCTTGCTCACTCACGTTATGGATCTGTAGGAGGTAAGAGAATTTATTATTTATTATTTTAATATAAAAACAAATTTATTTATAAATTGAAAGGAATTAGGCTCTATATGTATTTAAACAACACGATAAGAAACTAGCGAATAAGAGCCACCGCGGATAGTAATGCGTAAATTTTTTTTAAAGATTAATTGTTTACGAAAATTTAAACGTCACGAGGCATATGCATATGTTTTACTTGGTGCATTTATCAAGATATAGATTCTCATTTTTGAGAATTCTATAAACCCTCTTTACCTCCCCAAATTTATTTATGATTTTATATGTATGTATATATATATATATAAAATCATAAATAAATTTGTTTATATATATATATATATATATATATATATATGAACTTTAAATTTAAAAATTTTATTGTTATTTTATTTAGATGCATCTACGAACGTAACGAGATCACGCATGCATCCACTTCAAGAGAGATTGTGGATAAATCAACAACGTATGCAAGAAGCACATAGACGAAGACTTTATCACAGATTTTCGTCGCATCACGTCGCGTTAGTATTATTGTTACTATATTATATCTTATGTAGTAAAGTATATTTATTCATAAATATGTACTTTTAGTAATACAGGACCATGTAACTCTCATGTACATTCATCGACGTATGTCGCTCGTAGAAGCGGCGAAAACAGCAGTCCTTCGAATGCTCGTTGTAACAATGGAACAGATAATACAGCATATACAGAAAATTATCTTCCACCTATTTTACCGCCACCGCAACAACCTACTGTGTATAGCCATCCTGAGGCTCGAGGGCCACCTAATTTCTATAGAGGATCATGCCCTGTGCTACCTATAATTGTAATTAGATTTTTGTATGAATATATAACATCTTCCAATATCATATTTTAATTCGCATTTTATATTATTCACAGGTGAATCCATTAAATGAGGTGGAAGAAATGGAGCAGACTCCTCCAGTGATGTTGCCCTCAATGCCAGTACATCAACATGTACATCATCATATGTATCACTATGATCCGCATCAACGGCCGTCGCAACGTATGCATCACCTTCATATTAGTTTCCATCCTCATATGGTACGTTTTTTCTTTTTATTATCAAGTATATATTGTTTTGATGTTGTATTCAATTCACTTCGTTTTATATACACATGTAGCAAGGATCTGGAACACATGATATGATGCCGTTTCCACCGTTGGGTCTATCAGATTTTGTATTGCAAGGAGCACGTCACATGTCTGCTCGACTAGACAATTATATGCGCATTGTTGATTTGCGACGTATGGGTCATATAAATTGTGGGGCTACGCAAGAATCTATTGAAAGCCACACATTCCCACATAAATACAAACGGGTAAGAATAAATGCTTATAATGCGAAAATTTTTAATATTATTGCACTTATTATATGTATAAGAGCAATTCATGTTACAATATGTTACATAAACATATTTATTTATAGGTAAAAAAAGTCGAGAATGGGGAAGATGCTATCGAGAAGTGTACAATATGTTTATCCGAATTTGAAGATTGTGAAAGTGTCAGGTAAATTTTAATTTCAAGTTTTTATAGATTTAATACAATTTTATAAATTGTAAATTTTGTAATATTTCTTTTTTATTTATAGGAGGCTTCCATGTATGCATTTATTTCATATCGATTGCGTTGATCGATGGTTATGCACCAATAAACGTTGTCCTATATGTCGAGTAGATATTGAAACTTTTCTCCATAAGGAATTTACTACTGCGACATAGTTTAAGGTTTTTCATATCTGCCTCTTTTTAAAATGTAATTAGGTATAATTAAATATTCATAATCATAAATATAAATATAAATACAAATACACACACACACACACACACACACACACATATATATATATATATATATATATATATATATATTATATATGTATGTATCTATCTATCTATGTTTACATAACATCAAATATTTCTCAAGATGGTCCATCCAGGAGAAATTGTGCTGGGTTACCACTATTACTATGGATTAATAATGTAAAAATGTTATGGATAATCAAAATAACGAAACATGAACTGAGTTCCTGAAGAAGACAAGAAGAGTTGTCAGCTTCAATTTTAATACATCTCTGACTGCGGTTGGTTTTATGCATAATAATAATAATAAATATATTGAAGACTCTAAATTTGTTTATATACATTATAATGATGAATGAATATTTAATTTTTATCTTTGTTTATATATGTATACGACGTAAAAATTTATGCTATAAGAAATTTAAAATAACTTACATGACTTCACAAAAATATTATATATCTTTGAGTATAGAATATAGTTAAGAAAAATATACACAAAGATATATAAGTTTGACAAATCAATTTGATTCTATGTCGACATAATATTTCTGGGATATACAATACATATTATATAAATTATATCTATTCAGTGTACTTCAATTTATGAGAATAATGAAATTTCTATTGTAAATATTTTATTAATATCATGTAAATTTTTGTAATGCTTGGATTAAATTTGTGATCTTGACAAAATTCTAGTATTACATGTCATATTACTAATAACAATTCAAAGAATAATTTGGTTTTATCTTTTCATATACTAATTTGTACCTATAATATTAAGCCCTGAATTTTTGATCCTACATGTTATATAGTATTAATAATAACATAAATCTGAATATATTGAAAAGTTATTTGCCATTGTTGCAGTTTACTATTAATTAACTTTTATCATGTGAGAATATCATTGTGTTATTTAAATTATATTTGTAATATATTATTTTTTCTTATTGAATATTATTCAAACTAAATGAAAATACTGCGCGCCGTTTGACATAATGCCGAAAATAATATATGTGATAAGTTTATATTTAAAAACCAATAATTATTCGTATTAAATTTCTTCGATTACTATCACCGATGCTAAGCCAAAGACTTAGCCTAAGTTATAAATATAAACAAATTTGATCTATAGAATGATTAAGCAAATTTTAAATTAAAGATAATCGCCATTGTATGTATGAAAATTGCAGAAAAAAAATCACTGTATTGTCAGGCCTTACATATATTGTCATTCTTGTACATATGTTACATAATAGAATCAAATACTATTCTCTAGTTATAATAATCTATAGTAAAAACAACACATTTTATCACATTAGAATATCTTCAGTATTCAAGTTAATACTGCACATGAATAATTTTATTTTGTCAATATAAAATGCGATAAAAAATGTAGTGTATAATAGATAGCATTGAAACATGCATATAATGTCATAGGATTTTCTGTTGCTAGTTTGATATCAAAGAATGAGTTGAAAAAAGCGATTGAATTAAAGAAAGAGAAGAGAAGAATATCATATATATTATTAAAGATTGTTATAAACGGTCTGAAAGAATTTCATAAAGACCTACATTCATGTTACACACAGGTACATGCTAAATTATAAATTTTATTATTTCTGATTAGTATTGTATATTAGGTCTCACATATGTAATTTGTTTCATTACTGATGAGTGATTGTCATTATGAAAACTTTTTACACTGCCATGTACCAAAACTATTTATCAAAATTCATTTATTAAGAGTAAAATATAATCCTTTACATAGCATTGCATTTTATGCAACATTTTTTAGCAATTTAATTAATTATATTATAACTTATATAACTATTCATATACACACAATTAAAATTTTGGAAATTATATATATATATATATATATATATATATATATATATATATATAATGTGTTCTGTTTCAAGGATTATGAACAAGAAATATTTGCCATATACAATCAAGTAGTTAGATAATTCATCTCTTAACGTGCGACTTTTATTCCACAAAATAAAAGCACAAGTAGATATATATACATCTATATTAATTATAATTACAAAATATGTAAATCAGAAAAAAAAACAATAATTTTATATACTTTCATATAAATAATAAGAAAGAATTTATACTGTATATAATAAATTAAAATAATAATGTGTATATAATAGGATAATAATGCAAAATGTAATTGACTTACTGTTGCAACACTATAGAATAAACGTTATGCAAAATACATACCTCTTTCGAAAAGATATATTATATTTTAATTAAAACCCTTAATTATTTATCATATCATTATTTATTATATATAATATCATTATTTAATTCGCTACACATCATGTATCTAATATTACTGACTGTGAACATGTAAAAGATTCATTTATGACACACAGAATGTACAGAATTGTGAATAATTCACGCTTGCATTACCGGATGCAAAAGATGTAGAGTTGGTCGCCGCTATTTTACTATCGGTAAATCATCGCATACGCGGAATTACGTAGACTCGCACGCTTTGTAATTATATCAAAGATGCGAAAAATTATTAAAACGTCATTATGTATCATATATGAAAGCGTAACACAAACGATAACTCAAGGTCATCTCTCTTCACGAAGCGTAAAACTCCAGATTTAAAACAGATCCGAGAGTGAGAGAGAGAGAGAGAGAGAGAGGGAAAGAGTGTCCAAAGTAATACTGAGAAAGTAATAAGGCAAGATATAATTGAAAAAGGTCTTGTTGGATAGCCTTTTTAAGTGCGATTTTTCCTGATGACTCATCTCGGGAATTTGAAGCACATATAGGACTTTCATGAATATTTCACAATACAGTTTTTTAAAAAGAGAATAAAGTTCTTGATTGTATTTGTATAACGATATATGTATTTGTATATCATATAGATAGATAAATATAAAAAAATTGTTTATATGAAAGAGAATATTACACTTAAATAGTTTTATGTCATACTTTTTTAAAACATTGACAATATAAAATATAGAATTATTTATTACAATTTTTTAATGCTATATTCAATAAAATACATATATTTATTTATTAAAAAAATTAAAAATTAATTTTATATACTTATAAATACTGCAACATATGTATAATAAAAACTAATGTGATATTAAATTCTTTTGTTAATAACAGTTTTTTGAGAGTTTTGAAAAATTGAATTTTTCTCATCAACAAATTTATGGAAAGTCGTGATTTGTTGATATAACTTGTAATTTTTATAATAAAATATTTTTTGTTACATAATATTTCCTTCAAATTAAGTATAGTTTAATTGAAATTAATAGAACGTTTTTATTTATTTTTGATTTTGGAAATCGAGTTTTTTTTTAAATGTTTGTTATCACATATTTATAATATTCGAAAATTACTATAAAAAATATATCATAGGAAGATTTTTATGTACCTTCAACATTTATAATTTAAAATTATTTTTATTGTAAGAGAAAGAGAAAGAACATACACAACAAAGTATAAATTTATACAGAAAATATATTACATATATATATATATATATATATATATATATATATTTATTACATACACACACACATATATATATATATATATATATATATTTATTTATTTATTTATTCATACGTATGTATGTATATTTCTCTAACATGCAAACATATATTCCAGCAAGTTTTATATACCTTACATATACGTGAATAGAATTTTTCGTATTTACACGCATACAATTAAATCCTAGTCTAACGTAAGACTATTGGTTGATTATTTCTCTCTGTCCGTTATAAAGAGAATGCACGAGAGAAGAGCAATTCAGTAGACCTCGTGCAGTGTTCCTCGACGATTCGCGCTATCCTCATTGATTTATCAATCACTGATGTCTTTATTTGTGTAAAAAATCTAGCAGCAACATATTAATTAATTAGTAAGTAACGATTAAATTAGTCAGATTAAATTAATGTCTGTTGAGAAAAAAATTGAAACCAATATAATTATGAAATTTTTAATAATACAATTCAATAATTTTTCATATCAATCATCACTTATTTTGATTGTCGTAAGATGTCATACAAATTATTTTAACGCTTCTTTCCGATGACATTTAAAGGAATTAATTATATTACATTAACTTTAATCTCTTTCTCTCTCTTTTTTATTTCTCTTTCTTTCAATTTTAATGTTATGATAACAATTATGATAAAAGGATTATTGAAAAATCCTTTGATTATTCGACTAGCGATATTAAGATATTTATTAATTATGATAAACTATGTATTAAGAAATGACGTGCGTCAAGTTATCAAATAAAAAGCGCATTATATGGCACTTTAAAAGATTGTCGATGCTTATTTAACATGCGAAAAAAATAATATTTCATAATACTATGTTGACAAAGCCTTACAATTTCTGGTAGATTTGTATGATAATTATACTTGACTTGAATTTTTAATTTAAATACATATTGTCAAAATAATTACATATTTTAATATAATACACAATATAATACACAATAATTAAGGTAACAGATGTATGCCTATATTGTATTACTTTGATATACACATAATACCTTGTCATTAGACGTTTCAATAGAAACATGTATATTGTTGATAAACAAGATGGAAGAAAACATTCATAACACTATTGTAAGCAAGATATAATAATATGACTATTAGTTGATTATTTCTCTGTCCGTTATAAAGAGAATGCGGTAGAAAAGAGCAATTTAGTAGCCTTCGTGTAATGTTCGACAATTTACCCTATTTTCATTGATCTATTAATCGCTTTTTATTTCTGTGCAAAAGGATCTCAATCGTACGTTAGCAGTAATAACATTGTAATATTTAAAATTATACAAAAAGTATTCTTATATTATTTTTACATTTTATACAGTATATCTTCTATCTGTTCCAAATTTTTACAACCGTAGATTTTTTTATAAGGATATAGTCATTTTTTGGCAAAATTTAAAAAATTTGAAATATATTAATACTTATTAAATTTTCAATAATAATATTTACACATATACATACACATACATCACATGTTATTTATAAATTGTCTTTTAAATTTAACAAGAAAATGTAATTTTTAATTTTGAAATCATAATTGACTTATCTTCTCAGGATATTTTTTCTAGAAGATTTAATTGGTCAACATTGTACTTTGAGAATGTGCGTATCTTTAATCTGACATCATTAATGTAATGTTATTTTCATTGAATTCAGAGTGATTTTATTTGTCAATGTCAAATATATTATAACTCATAATTAACTTTGACCGTGAAATAAATCGCAGGAGAATCCGCTAACAACTGTTGTCACGCTAGGTTGCAAATGCTTAAATATAAATCTTCATCTATTATGGCTAGCTCACATTTATTCAATGTCGGGGGTACCCAGGCAGAACTTATTTTCATGCTGACGTTGACTAATCATAAGTACGGTAGAGGCATCGAAATCTCCGCGCACGTGCTATATCTTGGTTCATCGAATTTCTTTGCAATGGTTTTATTTAACAGTCCTCGACACATGTGTATCTTTTCTCGGCTCACTAAAAATTTTTTAAATTAAAGCAAAAGTTACTTTGAATATTTTAACAAAGTAAAATAACACATGACTTTTATTTACTATCCTAATTATATCCACCAAGTATCAGTGCTATGGACTCTATAATGATGTATGCATATATAATATATAACATGTTTGATAATGCGAACATGTAATAAATACAGTAATATTGTTTGTGAAAAACTCATTTTTTAAAAAAAGGGAACAAAGGTGAAACATTATCAGTTTCTTAGAATCATGTATAAATATGATTGTAGTTATATGATAAATAAAGTTTAGACGTAAAATAGTAGAGCTCCTTTCACTCAATTTTAAATGTATAAACTTTAAGTTTCTAATACTTAAAGGGATTAAAGAATTATAAAAAAAATTATAATATTAATATCAATACATATTAAAAAAAATTATTTAAATCTCAAGTAATACAATTTCATTTTATCAGTTTTCCTAATATGTAATTTAAGACATTTGACATTTCTTTTAATAGTCTAATTATTAAAACTATTTTGAGAACGCAAAAAATTTATTTATAATTATATTTGCATAATCTACTTAATTACTGAAGATGAGATAACATAATTTAAATTTTTAGGAAAGATTTAAAATGTGGTCTTCCGTCATCGTACTCATCAGTTCACTATGTATATTAATACCATCGACGCAATCTCAAGGTATGCGCTTTTTATTACCATTTCGAGTAATATATGTGTCTACAGATTCCATTACAATCTCGTCACAACTATCGGTCAGATTTTACTTGCAAACTACTGATAATACTTTTTTAACATAATAGCAAATCGAATTTCCGCACGAAACAAATCCGGTATATCCACATGTGTCATCTTAACTCAACATATTATCTAATTTCATAAATACATGTTGCTGTCGCGTGTTACTCTCGAGTGCGTCTTCTATCTTGCGTAATTATTCTATCTGTATTCACTTAGTCTGTACTCACTATACTCACTTAATGGCTTAACAATCTTTATTATAAGAATTATATTTATGAAAGTTGAATTTTTTGAATTATATATCATATTTTAAGATAATTAAATTTAAATATGTGTTTTTATAAAGTGTTTACATTTTATATATTTTATTTTTTTATTATTTTTTTATATTTTATATATTTTTCACAAATTTGTGAAGATTAATTGATCTTTATAAATATACATATATATAAAGGCTTACAAATTTCTTACACGATAGTGTTACACAGATTACCTGGAAATTACAGTAGTAAGCATTGACGTAAAGTTGTTCGAACACGGCCAAGGCAAGATTTTTTTAAATCGAGAGAACGAGAGTTTCATGTAATATAGCATGACCATCGATGAAGGTCAACTGGAGGCCGATTTGTTGCGACATATTACATCTTCTTTTCGATGATTTGAAAAATGCTTCTGAAAAAAATAATATCGCCACAAATTAAAAGAACTTGTTTATACAATCGATCAGATTTGCAATCGAAATTAATATGATGTAAAGTATATACTTTAAGATAAATACTGAAAGTTTCAATGCGAAAGATTATTCGTATTACATTAATTAATATATATTTAGAATGAATATTTTTATAACATTTTTAAAAATTGAATAGGAGTAACTATTATGAAATATAATATAAAAAAATTAATGACCAATTATACAATCATAACGATTCTATTTTTTGTATTAATTAGTTATTCTAATCATATGTGTAGTATAATTGAATCAGCAGAGAATTTGCCGGATGTGGTCGCTATTAATTCACACGATATTGAATACCCAGTGAGGATTATTGAGAGGAAGAAGTCTTTAAGAGGACTTTTTGAAGACTTTATTAATTTCTTTTGAAAATGACATCAATAATCTTTTTGTAAGATGTCTTCAAAAAGTTCTTTATGATGTCTACTTACTAGATGTCTTTAGAGTTTGCTTACTAGCTCTAAAGACATCTATAAGTATATAAGTACATAATAAAGAGTTTTGAGAACACATATAATTTAGATTATTATTTATTAACTTGGCAGATTATCTTGAAGGAAAAATGAAGAGGAAAATACAAAAATAAAAATAGAAAAAAAGTAAAAATAAAAGGAAAGAGAAAAGAGCACACTAGGATAAGTATAAAATAATTTATTAAAAGTTGCTTTATATATTATATAAATTATAAACGAATATCCAATCTCCCGCATGCTGTAGTATGAGTTAAGGTTACATCTGGTTTATAATTTTTATAATATATAAAACAATTTTTAATAAATTATTTTATACTAATCTTAGTGTGCACTTTTCTCCTTTCTTTTATTTTTACTTCTTTTTTATTTTTATTTTTTGACATTTATAAGAAATTAAATTATAATATTCTTTCAGATGTATTTATGTGATGTCTTTTTTCTTCTAAAATCGAGAATTTATTAGAGAACTTATTGACATCATTATGTTATCTTCCACATGACATTTGTCGAATGTCCATTTCTTAAACCTGAATACACCTTAAGAACTCTTTTTGGTAATTTATTGCTCACTGGATAATTATGAAGAAAAAATTCTTACGATTTATTACGATAAACTATTTTAATTCGTGTTGTAAATAATGATAAAACTGCAATAAATAAGATACAATTGATAAAAAAAATTTAGTTATGCAATATACTCTCTTAATACAATATATTATAGAAACGTTTCGAAATTTATAAAGAAAATTAATTTATAAATAAAATCTCTGTATAAATAATATCTTACTATAAAACAAGAAAATATATAAATTTTAACTTTTTACTTATGCGGCACAAATATCTAATAGTGAACAGCTGACCGCATCTATCTAGAATTGATTATCCGCTTGTTTCATAAATTTATTCTATTGTATAATGTAAATCATTACTTACCGGAATATTTTAAATTTATGGGCAGATTTTAAAAGATGGTATTTAGCGATGTAACATTAACAACATTAGCAAACATTACTAACTTTTTTCACAGAAAATATATTTACATACTGTAGCTAGTAGAATTTAAATAATTCAGAAGAATCAGAATTGTACATACATAAATGTACGTTATCGTAATGAAATGCATTTTATTGCGCAATAAACTATTATGCATAATAGCGATAAAGTTATACATTTTTTTCATGCTAACATTTATATTTTTATAATTATTACTCTATAATTTCTATAATTATTCTTGATTAATCAGAGATTTCGAATCGAAAGATAAATATATAATTACAAAAATGTTTAACAATATTAATTGCAATATAAGCTTCTTTCTTGAATATTCTTTATTTTAATAAAATTTATATGTGAAAAACGTCACGCGTGATAGCAAATATCAAATTTGTCGACCAAATATATAAAAGAACTGATAATTAATAACTGTAATATAACAAAGTGCTTACGAGATACTATAATTAATCTACTTTTCATACAAATATTTTACAATATATGTAAAAAATATATATATCATATATCTAAAAGTGATATTATATCAACGTATAAGAAGTTATTTTCAAGACATATATAATTTTATTTACAGTTTTATCGTGTAAAATATAGAAAATATTTGAAGAAATATAAATTTACATGTAAAAATTTACATAAAAAAATAGTAGAATGGACACATATACATTAAAATATATAGCACATAAAATGAGAAATAGAATTCTCTCTTAAGTCTTTTGTCGCGAATTATAAATCATCTAAAGCAGATTTTATAAAAATATAAGTTTTAGAATACTTTAGGATATTATACTGAGATGTACATTAATAGAAAACATATTGAAGGAACTAACTAAATATAACTAAATAAATATAATATTATAAAATTTGTTAAATTTAAATTTTTATGTTGCAGGTCAATGCCAAAACCCACAAGGGCGACCTGGTATATGCATTAATATAAAAAATTGTGCACCGTTGCTCAATCTTCTGCAAACAAATTCTCAAAATCCAGAAATAGCAAATTTTCTCCGTTCTTCCCTTTGTGGATTTGAAGGTAGAGATCCTCAAGTTTGCTGTCCTACCGACATCAATGGCGGAAATACAGGTGGTACAGAAAACACAGGCAACAATTTCGAAGGCGAGCAAGGTCGTGGCGAGATCACGAATACTGTGTATGGTCCTTTGTATCCACCTGATTGTGGATTTAGTAATATATCGCTACGTAGAGTCGTTGGTGGTTCGCCAGCTGCGTTAGGTACAAATAATTTTTATGTTAGAGGATAATTTTTATCTATGATGTATGACTGTTTTATTATATTTTTTATTACTTGTCACATATCATCAACAATCATTTTTTTAAACTATAATATGTTTCTAAGAAAAATTAAAAAGTGTCAAATTTAAAATCCGTCTTCTTTTTCTTTAAATTGGTTAAATTTTTTTAGGAGATTTTGATTAAATTTTATAGGAGATTTTTTTTAATCAATTTTTTCTTCCCGAACACATTAAAGACTTTTCTTTTTGTTAGAAATGATTGAAAAGTTGTTTTTTCACATATAATGGAAATAAATAGTTTGGTCTGAATTTAGTTTTACATAGTCTTTGTTTCGACAGATTCTTAAAATCCAATGCTTAATTAATATGATATTGACATTAGTTACAACATAAAAATTATAAGAGTGACTTAGATCAGTGTCATTGTCGGCGTTATTAATGAATCTATGACACTAATAGTAATAACTGATCCATTTTGTAGGTTCTTGGCCTTGGCTCACCGCTCTCGGATTCAGAAATCCGAGAGATTCAAATGTTCCGAGATGGCTTTGCGGTGGCGCTTTAATTTCTACTCGTCATGTGCTTACTGCTGCGCATTGCGTACATGGACGAGACGATTTGTATAAAGTACGTATTGGTGACTTGGACCTCAATAGCGATTCCGATGGAGCGACTCCCTTCGAGGATTTTATCGAATGGAAAGCAGTACATCCCGGCTACAATCCCACAAGCCACACGAACGATGTGGCTGTTTTAAAAACGACTCGAGAAGTACCATTTTCATGTAAGTTTTCCTATTTTGCTAATATTTATTTTATTTCAATCGCTATTATTTTCACGAAAGATCGAGAAACCACGTAAAATTTAATATTAAAAAATGTTCATTGATATGAAATGTGAGCTGAAGAGATCTAAAAAATGAATTAACTAAAAACTCAATTAAGACTATAATCGATTCTTCAGGAAATATTTCTGTATTGTATCATATCAAATTATTTTTTTCAATTCTGTCAATTTAATTTCTCAAAAATATTTTCTGCATTTTGTCCTTTTGTAATTCGCAACTTATCGTAATTCTGACGATAGATATATTTATTGTTTTGCGCCGAAAAGATTTACAAACAAATATCAAAATTACGTAAAAATTTTAATTTTTTCTTTTCACTCCTAAGTCAAATTTATGATCAAACAAAAATGTCAGATCTGAACATTTTTTCTATAATTTATATTCTATAATTTAAAATACATACGTATTTGATTTATAAAATTAAAATCTGCCAAATTAACTATTATCATCATATAATTTTCAAAATTAGAAATTTTAGATTAGATTTAGCTTTTAGAATTGTTTAATTTGCTTTCTTCTTCACTACGCTTTATAAATTGATATCAGTTTTATAAACTTTCAGCAATACTTCATCCTATCTGTCTGCCAGTGGATGATTTTACTAGAAATAGAAACGTGGAGAATACGTATCCTTTCATTGCTGGATGGGGATCTGTTTATTTTCGTAAGTATTGAATAAAATAAACTACATACACACACACACACACACACACACACACACACACACACACATATATATATATATAGATATATTATTTGTTAAATGTAATTTGATGAATTCCTTTAATTTCTAATTGTAATCTGAGAAATATGTATGTGTATGTGTATAAAAATCTAAAAAGAAATATGTATATGTATATAAAAATTTAATAAATATATAATAACAGTAATAATTTAATACTATAAATAAGAATATTATTAATAATAACAGTAATAATTAATACTATAAATAATAGTAATAATCTAATACTAAAAGCCTTTTTTGTTATATTATAATTATTTTCTATATTTTTAATAAGATATTATAATTTATTTTAATTTTGCATTGTTTATATTTTTAGGTGGACCTACAAGCAGTCGACTTTTACAAACACAACTTCCTGTACGTCCACAACAAGAATGCGTAAGAGCTTTTCAAAATTTTAAAGGGAATGTAATAGATGATCGCGTTTTATGTGCCGGATTTGCTCAAGGTGGAAAAGATTCTTGTCAGGTGAGAAATGATTATAGAATTATATTAATAAGACATTAATAAAAAATATTTATATTTCTTATGAATGACTTAATTAATAAAAAAGTTAATTAATAAATCGAATTATGCGTATATAGATTGTACATTTTAAATGTACTAACAATTGAAATAGTAATTCCGAATTTAGATCAATTTTCATTCTTTTCATCATTTCTTAATATCATTATTGATATCTTACTTTATTATCATTATTTAAGTTTATTTTCTATCCAACTAATAATTTCCTAAGCATAATTTTGTCTACGTCGAAAAAATTTATTATTTTTTTTTATTTTTACATATAATGACTTGTCTTAATATGACATAAGTGTAAAAATTAATTATAATGCAGCCATTTTAAAAGAAACTAAAACTTAAAAAAAGAAATTTTTATTAATTTGTTAAATAAATATTTTTTTCATTAATTATTTATCTGTTGCTTATATGAAATGATTTTTCAGGGTGACAGTGGTGGACCATTGATGTCTCCTAATCCTCGAGACAATAAATTTTATTATGTTATCGGAGTAGTATCATATGGTTTTAGATGCGCAGAACCAGGTTTTCCAGGAGTATATACAAAGGTTACGGCTTTCCTCGATTTTATTACAAGCCAATTAGTGTAAATAGCTTTTTTATACAAACATAGAAATTTTCCATCTATATTTTTTTTCTTAGGTTCTGTAAAACGAATGTTATATGATTAAAATGTATATTATTATAATTGTTTCTCATCTGGACAAATAAATATAAGTAATATAAACAAAAGTTACAATTTTATTTTTAGATATCATAAACAAATTTTAAATATTTCTAAATATTAAGTATTATTATATATTATAAATAAATCATACTTAGATAAATAAATAATTATTTCATTATAATTGTAATGAGAATGTTGTTTGTAAAATTTTATGCTGATTTTATGAAGCAATCTTTTAGTTTAATTTTATTATACGACATTTTATAATTATTTTAAGAAAGTATAATATTATACAAATATATATATATATAAAAATTTTGTTTGTTGTGTTTTGTTTAAGAATCTTATATATACATATATGTATGTATATATACATATATGTATGTATTATACATATATGTATGTATTATATCTATATACATATATATATGTATTTGACATACGTCAAGGTCATAATCCTAAGTAACCTCTAAAAAGTTTTAGTTGTGGCGATCATTGTTTATTAAGAAGTTATTAACAATTTAATTCTGTAGTAAAAACATAGTAAAAACATGCATTAAAAGGTTTTAATCCGCGTTCGTTGTTTATTAAAAAGTTATAGATAAAAAAAGTTTTATTAATATCACAAATGTATGTGTACACACACACACACACACAGACACGCGCGCGCGCGGAGGATGCGGAAGGGGGCTTTCGGCCCTCCTCCCGCAACCACACCGCCGGTGGGGGCCGCATTGCGAAGAGTTCAATCAGCATATATATCCATTGCGCTTCTTTCCAATGATATCTAACAGAATTAATTATATTAACTTTAATCTCTTTCTCTCTCTTTTTTGTCTCTCATTCTTTCTTTCAGTTTTAATGTTTTATGATAACAGTTATGATAAACTATATATTAAATTAAGAGATGACATGTGTATCAAGTTATCAAATAAAAAGCGCATTATATTGCATTTTAGAAGATTGTTGATGCTTATTTAACATCCGAAAAATAATATTCCATAACATTATCTTGACAAAGCCAACTTCTAATCGATTTGTATGATAATTATACTTGACTTGAATTTTTAATTTAAACACATATTGTCACAATAATTACATATCTTAATATAATACACAGTAATTAAGGTAACAGATGTATGTCTGCATTGTATTACTTCGATATACGTAATATCTTGTCATTAGACGCTTCAATAGAAACATGTATATAGTTGATAAACAAGATGGAAGAAAACATTCGTAACACTATTGGAAGCAGAATATAATAATATGACTATTAGTTGACTATTTGTTCTCTGTCCGTTATAAAGAGAATGCGGCAGAAAAGAGCAATTTAGTAGCCATCATGTAATGTTCATCGACAATTCGCCCTGTTTTCATTGATCTATTATTCGCTAGTGTTTTTATTTCTGTGCAAAAGGATCTCAATCGTATGTTAGCAATAATATCATTGTAATATTTAATATTATACAAAAAGTATTCTTATATTATTTTTACATTTTATACAGTACATCTTCTATCTGTTTCAAATTTTTACAACCGTATTTTTTTATAAGGATATAGTCATTTTTTGACAAAATTTAAAAAATTTGGAATATATTAATACTTATTAAACTTTCAATAATAATATTTACACATATACATACACATACATCACATGTTATAAATTGCCTTTTAAATTTAACAAGAAAATGTAATTTTTAATTTTGAAATCATAATTGATTTATCTTCTCAGAATACTTTTTCTAAAAGATTTAATAGATCAACAACGTACTTTTACGCTTAATGTGCGTATCTTTAATCTGACATCATTAGAGTAATGCTATTTTCATTGAATTCAGAGTGATTTTATTTGTCAATGTCAAATATATTATAACTCATAATTAATTTTGACCGTGAAATAAATCGCAGGAGAATCCGCTAACAACTGTTGTCACGCTAGGTTGCAAATGCTTAAATATAAATCTTCATCTATTATGGCTAGCTCACATTTATTCAATGTCGGGGGTACCCAGGCAGAACTTATTTTCATGTTGACGTTGACTAATCATAAGTACGGTAGAGGCATCGAAATCTCCGTGCACGTGCTGTATCTTGGGTCATCGAATTTCTTTGCAATGGTTTTATTTAACAGTCCTCGACACATGTGTATCTTTTCTCGGCTCATTAAAAATTTTTTAAATTAAAGCAAAAGTTACTTTGAATATTTTAACAAAGTAAAATAACACATGACTTTTATTTACTATCCTAATTATATCCACCAAGTATCAGTGCTATGGACTCTATAATGATGTATGCATATATAATATATAACATGTTTGATAATGCGAACATGTAATAAATACAGTAATATTGTTTGTGAAAAACTCATTTTTTAAAAAAAGGGAACAAAGGAAACAATATCAGTTTCTTAGCATCACGTATAAATATGACTGTAGTTATATGATAAATGAAGTTTAGATGTAAAATAGTAGAGCCCCTTTTACTCAATTTTAAATGAATAAACTTTAAGTTTAATTAAAGTTTCTAATACTTAAAGAGATTAAAGAATTATAAAAAAAGTTATAATATTAATATCAATACATATTAAAAAAAAATTATTTAAATCTCAAGTAATACAATCCCATTTTATCAATTTTCCTAATATGTAATTTAAGACATTTGACATTTCTTTTAACAGTCTAATTATTAAATCTATTTTGAGAACGCAAAAAATTTATTTATAATTATATTTGCATAATCTACTTAATTACTGAAGATGAGATAACATAATTTAAATTTTTAGGAAAGATTTAAAATGTGGTCTTCCGTCGTACTCATCAGTTCACTATGTATATTAATATCACCGACGCAATCTCAAGGTATGCGCTTTTTATTACCATTTTGAGTAATATATGTGTCTACAGATTCCATTACAATCTCGTCACAACTATCGGTCAGATTTTACTTCCGAACTACTGATAGTGCTTTCTTAATATAATAGCGAATCGAATTTCGTATGAAACAAATCCGGTATGTCCACATGTGTCATTTTAACTCAACATATTATCTAATTTCATAAATACACGTTGCTCCCGCGTGTTACTCTCGAGTGCGTCATCTTGCGTAATTATTCTATCTGTACTCACTTAGTCTGTACTCACTATACTCACTTAATAGCTTAACAATCTTTATTATAAGAATTATATTTATGAAAGTTGAATTTTTTGAATTATATTTTAAGATAATTAAATTTAAATATGTGTTTTTATAAATTGTTTACATTTTATATATTTTATATTTTTTATTATTTTTTTATATTTTATATATTTTTCACAAATTTGTGAAGATTAATTGATCTTTATAAATATACATATATATATAAAGGCTTACAAATTTTTTACACTATAGTGTTACACAGATTACCGGGAAATTACAGTAGTAAGCATTGACGTAAAATTGTTCGAACAGGGCCAAGGCAAGATTTTTTTAAATTGAGAGAACGAGAGTTTCATGTAATATCATGAAAGCCTGATCATCGATGAAAGTCGACTGGACACCGATTTATACTGACATATTACATCTTCTTTTCGATGATTTGAAAAATGCTTCTGAAAAAAATAATATCGCCACAAATTAAAAGAATCGTGATTATACAATCGATCAGATTTAACTAAATAAATATAATATTATAAAGTTTGTTAAATTTAAATTTTTATGTTGCAGGTCAATGCCAAAACCCACAAGGGCGACCTGGTATATGCATTAATATAAAAAAATGTACACTGTTGCTCAATCTTCTGCAAACAAATTCTCAAAATCCAGAAGTAGCAAAATTTCTCCGTTCTTCCCTTTGTGGATTTGAAGGTAGAGATCCTCAAGTTTGCTGTCCTACCGACAATGGCGGAAATACAGGTGGTACAGAAAACGAAGGCGAGCAAGGTCGTGGCGAGATCACGAATACTGTGTATGGTCCTTTGTATCCACCTGATTGTGGATTTAGTGATGTACCGCTACGTAGAGTCGTTGGTGGCTCGCCAGCTTCGTTAGGTACGAATAATTTTGGTTAGAGAATAATTTTTATCTATGATATATGACTGTTTTATTATATTTTGTATTACTTGTCACATATCATCAACAATCATTTTTTTAAACTATAATGTGTTTCTAAGAAAAATTAAAAAGTGTCAATTTTAAAATCCGTCTTTTTTTTAAATAAAGTAAATTTCAAGTAAATTTTATAGGAGATTTTTTTAATCAACTTTTTCTTCACCAACACATTGAAAATTTTTCTTTTTGTTAGAAACAATTAAATTGTTGCTTTTTTACATGTCAATGGAAATAAATAGTTTGGTCTGAATTTAATTTTACATAGTCTTTGTTTCGGCAGACTCTTAAAACGCTTAATTAATATGATATTGATATCAGTTAAAAAATAAAAATTATAAAAGTGACTTACATCAGTGTCATTGTCAGCGTTATTAATGAATCTATGATATTAATAGTAATAACTGATCCATTTTGTAGGTTCTTGGCCTTGGCTCACCGTTCTCGGATTCAGAAATCCGAGAAATCCAAATGTTCCGAGATGGCTTTGCGGTGGCGCTTTAATTTCTACTCGTCATGTGCTTACTGCCGCGCATTGCGTACGAGACGATTTGTATAAAGTACGTATTGGTGACTTGGATCTCAATAGCGATTCCGATGGAGCGACTCCCTTCGAGGATTTTATCGAATGGAAAGCAGTACATCCCGGCTACAATCCCACAAGCCACACGAACGATGTGGCTGTTTTGAAAACGACTCGAGAAGTACCATTTTCACGTAAGCTTTCCTATTTTGCTAATGTTTTTTTTTATTTCACTCACTATTATTTTCACGAAAGATCGAGAAACCACGTGAAATTTAATATTAAAAAATTTTCATTGATATGAAATGTGTGAGGAGATCTAAAATATGAGAAAACTCAATTAAGACTATAATCGATTCTTTAAGAAGTATTTCTGTATTGTATTATATCAAATAATTTTTTCAATTCTGTCAATTTAATTTCTCAAAAATATTTTCCGCATTTTGTTCTTTTGTGATTCGCAACTTATCATAATTCTGACGATAGATATATTTATTGTTTTGCGCCGAAAAGACTTACAAACAAATATCAAAATTACGTAAAAATTTTAATTTTTTCTTTTCACTCCTAAGTCAAAATTATGATGAAAGAAAAATGTCAGATCTGAACATTTTTTCTATAAATTATATTCTATAATTTAAAATAGATACGTATTTGATTTACAAAATCAATAAAATCTGCAAAATCTGCCAAATTAAATATTATCATCATATAATTTTCAAAATAAGAAATTTTAGATTAGATTTAGCTTTTAGAATTGTTTAATTTCCTTTCTTCTTCACTACGCTTTATAAATTGATATCAGTTTTATAAACTTTCAGCAACGCTTCATCCTATCTGTCTGCCAGTGGATGATTTTAATAGAAATAGAAACGTGGAAAATACGTATCCTTTCATTGCTGGATGGGGATCTGTTTATTACCGTAAGTATTGAATAAAATAAACTACACACACACACACACACACACACACACACACACACACACACACACATATATATAAATAGATATATTATTTGCTAAATGTAATTTGATGAATTTCTTTAATTTCTAATTGTAATCTGAGAAATATGTATGTGTATGTATATAAAAATCTAAAAAGAAATATGTATATGTATATAAAAATCTAATAAATATATAATAACAGTAATAATTTAATACTATAAATAATACTATAAATAATAGTAATAATATAATACTAAAAGCCTTTTTTATTATATTATAATTTTTTTCTATATTTTTATTAAGATATTATAATTTATTTTAATTATGTATTGTTTATATTTTTAGGTGGGCCTACAAGCAGTCGACTTTTACAAACACAACTTCCTGTTCGTCCACAACAAGAATGCGTAAGAGCTTTTCAAAATTTTAAAGAGACTGTAATAGATGATCGCGTTTTATGTGCCGGCTTTGCTCAAGGTGGAAAAGACTCTTGTCAGGTAAGAAATGATTATAGAATTATATTAATAAAAAATTAATAAAAAATATTTATATTTCTTATAAATGGCTTAATTAATAAAAGAGTTAATTAATAAATCGAATTATGCGTTTATAGATTGTACATTTTAAATGTATTAACAATATATATTGAAATAGTAATTCCGAATTTAGATCGATTTTCGTTCCTTTCATCATTTCTTAATATCATTATTGATATCTTACTTTATTATTATTATTTAAGTTTATTTCCTATCCAACTAATAATTTCCTAAGCATAATTTTGTCAACGTCTAAAAAATTTATTATTTTCTTTTATTTTTACGTATAATGACTTGTCTTCATATGACATAAGTGAAAAATTAATTATAATGCAGCCATTTTAAAAGAAACTATAACTTAAAAAAAGATATCTTTATTAATTAGTTAAATAAATATTTTTTTATTAATTATTTATCTGTTGCTTATATGAAATGATTTTTCAGGGTGACAGTGGTGGACCATTGATGTCTCCTAATCCTCGAGACAATAAATTTTATTATATTATTGGTATAATATCATATGGTTTTAGATGCGCAGAACCAGGTTTTCCAGGAGTATATACAAAGGTTACGTCTTTCCTCGATTTTATTACAAGCCAATTAGTGTAAATAGCTTTTTTATACAAACATAGAAATTTTCCATCTATATTTTTTTTCTTAGGTTCTGGAAAACGAATATTATAATATATAATTAGAATGTATATTATTATAATTGTTTCTCATCTGAACAAATAAATATAATAAACAAAAATTACGATTTTATTTTTAAATTTCATAAACAAATTTTAAATATTTCTAAATATCAAGTATTATTAAATATCATAGATAAATCATATTTGAAATGAAAATTATGAAAATTATATTGTAAAATTTTATGCTAATTTTATGACGCAATCTTTTAGTTTAATTCTATCATACAACATTTTATAATTATTTGATGAAAGTATAATATTATAATTATATATATAGAAATGTTTTGTTTGTTGTGTTTTGTTTAAGAATTTTATATATACATATGTATGTATATGTATATATGTATAATTATATCTAATTTGATTAAACAATACAAATAATTTATTATTTATATTTTTATCTTCTTTGTTATTTATCTTTCTGTTATTTATTACTTCTATTAGCATTATACTTTATGTTTATTTCGATTGATTATATTATATATACATATGTTTTAACGAATATGTATCTATACATCTCATAAGCATACATTTTATGAAAATCAATGATTAGTCATACGCTTCACTTATCTGGATTTCAATTTTTATTTTGTAGAAATTTGAAAGCCATTTAAATTCTAATTAATTAATCAATTAATTAATATTTAATTAATAAATAATCAATTAATTAACTACGAAATTAATTTATCAAATAATATCTAGTATTTTGTAATAAAGAAAAAATTGTTGAAAAGAATTTAAAAAGAATTATTATTTATTATTGTTTGAAACATAAAAAAAAATTAAATTAGTTGTACAATTAAATAGTTTGTTGTAATTCTATTAATTGAATTATAATTCGCGATTAAATTAATTGGAGCTTGATTTTTATGTGGCTATGAAAGTTGAAAACATTCAATAAGTATCTAAGTGATGCCCTCTGTGAAGAATAACGAAAAGTCTTTGACGTAATCATTCCGTTATGTATCGATAAAGAATGTATCTTTATCAAAGATTATAATATAATAAATTCGATTGAATGCATTACATATGCGTATTAGAATACGCGAAGAATGTATACAAATTTATAATCACATAAGTAATTAAAAGATAATTAATATTATTTTAAATAATAACAATAGCAAGTATATATTTTTATTAGTGTTATTCAATATAAATAACAATAATAATAATTTATAATATGATTAATTATGAATAATATAATATTAATAATATAATAATAATGTTTATAAATAATAAGAGAGAGAGAGAGATTGTTTTATTGTTTTAATTATTTATAAAATTGTAAATTTGTATACAACAGTTTCAATATGTGACAATGGCTGCAGTCAAGACTGCACTATGAATGCTTCGAAACATCATTCTATCTTTATTCTCATGGAATGTAGAACAAAGATAGAATGATGTTTCAAAGCATCCAGAGCGTCTTCCCGACCGCAGCCAATATGTGTAACACTAACCGAAAGCGCTATGTTGGCTCTTAGTCTCTGCTTTGGTCGCTAGAGGGCGACGACGATGAAGCATTTCTCGTAATAGAAATCAGTCATTCACACTATATATATGGCACAGGAACCGGCAGAAATTTAAGATCATACTTCACAGGATCAGTTCTGTAGTATTCGATCTTATTCTCCCTCCCTAACACGGGAGTAAGCGTAACCATGATGAGGAGTCGCAGTCCTCTTCCTTGAGCGTGAGAACGACACGAGTTCTTGACTTTGTTTCGAGATCTCTGTCATCGATGATCGTTCAACCTTTGTACTCAGTGCAAAGGTGATGGGGAGACGGGCTTTCTGAGTGGTTATACATGATAAATTCTAAAAATAGATCTCGAGGTATATTCACAAGTAAGATCGTTTGTTAAAATCGTTACTTAAATTTTACATTTATATAATTTCGTGTGTGCTCTTTAAATCACTTACCACGTGTGTAATATATTTGATAAATTTAGTCGCCGATCGGCTATGTCACGTTCTGCGATTATCTTTGTGAATCTTTTCGTTGAAACTAATTTAGATCATAAGAAATATATTTTCTTGATGAATCAGCAACGAAGTTCGTTGCGTAAAAATAGATATTCAATAATAAGTTTTTTTTCTCTTCGGTCCTAATAATTTTCTGCAAAAGTTTCAAAGTTATATAAACTCTTGTTAAATTGTCATTATATAAGTGATATGCCCTATTACGAAAAATACATTAAAGTACATTCGATAAATGCAATACACATATACATCTTTATAAATAATAAATTATATTTTTATAATATATAAATGAATAAAGTTAAAAACCAAGATTATAGAATATGGACGACATAAAATTCATATATGTTTATATTTTATAATATTGAAATTCTTTCTCATTTTACGAAATTGATTAGCTTTGTGTATAATATTGATAAAAAAAATTTAATACGAATACTATTTTAAGCTTCTCTGAATTATTTTAGATATATATATTAAAATAGTAGTTGTTAAATCGTTTTATTAATATTATGAATTATACACAGAGCTAATCAATTTCTCAAAATGAAAAACAATTTTATACTCAGAAATGCATATGTTAATGAAAGAATTTTTTTTCAATTTAGAATTTAACATTAGATCACTCAAAAAGATTTCGAAGAATTTAGCCGAACATTCATGCCAATCTTAGAGACGAGAACTATTATTTTTCGTTTCTTGTAACATGTACATCAACGTCTATATATAAGAAAAAAATAAAAAGAAAAGAATCTAAAATAATATAATAAAATGATGAAAAGAAGAATCTAAAAATAGACCTAGAAAAAATGTATGAAACTAATATATAAATAAAATACATCGTTCTCTCTCTCTTAAATACGATTACAAAATTTCGCAAATTATAATACTTAACGTAAGTATATTAATACTTTGTTTGTAATTATACAATGCATTAAAAATGATATAAATGTAATTTTGAAATAAATTACTTAATCACTGTTGTAACTACTTTATACAACACATTTATAATCAAGATACAGATATGACAGATATTTTTTTTAAGATATTGACGAAAAATATATATTACAATATACTATATTTAATATATATATTAGAATAAAATATGTTACAGATATATATTTATATGAGACATTTATTAATACAGAATAAAGTTCATCCTGTATGCTACAATATTACGTAAGCGCGTATAACAAATTTAATATTTTTATTAACAAAAGATTTGAGAATATATAACAATTATATTATGGAGTACAATTTCACATCTTAAACTTTAAGACTTATTTTTTATTATCCGTTTTTTTCTATCTCATTCGTAATTAAAAAACATTGCGATCGATTTTTATAAAATCATATTTTTATAGAAGCACAATGATATAAAGAAATCAGAGCACCATTATTATACAACACTGCCTTTTTACAATGCTTTAAGAATAATATTGTGCGATATTTTTATCGTTTACATTATTTTTATGTATTATAACTTATTTTTTTTGCATTGTATATATATATACACACATAACATATATGATGCGTTTATTCTATATAGTTTTATTCAACAAATTGAGTTGATATGATATACACAATAGGAATCATAAAGATATGTGATGTAGATTATCAACTATTTCTTGATAAATCACGTACACAATTTTTGAAACGATTCTAGTCATCAATTGTAATCAATCGTATTCCGCCAATTATTTGAAATACTGATTAAGAACATATTATTAGAAAACAATTACTCCAAATAAGATGTAGTAATAGAGTATTATTATGTGAAGAAATTATTATTATGCGAAAATGTATCACATAAAAATATGACTCTTAAACAGTATATGTCAAAGTGGTAAGACAGAGATGAAGTGATTTAACGAATGTATATTTATAATGAATGTGTATATCATTGTCAAAATTGAAACGCTTGGTTTATTTTCTATCAATCAATGCAAAGATATACACATTCATTAAAACTAGTTTTTTGATCTGTTGAATAAATAAAATATTTGAATATGCAACAAAAATAAGTAATTTTATTATTTCTTTCTAGAGCTTGTGTAATCATAAATTTGAATAGCTAGATTTTCAAGTTAATGTTCAATGTGCTAAATTAATTCTTAGTTTATGGCTGTATCTTATTTGGCACATGCAAAAAATATTTGCAAAATTGTTCGATATATATGTATAAGCAATGATGCAACTTTTAATTTACTTAGAAGTAGGATAGTATGAATAGTGAATAGCAATACATGAATCTTTTTAAATAGAATATCAAACATCACCAGGAACATATAGATCAATTTTCTGATTTCCTTTAATAAATTTGAGCATCATATTTTTATCTGAATAAAAGTAAAATAAAAAATTAAATTACAAAAACATGTTTCTTATAATATTACTATATAAACAAAAATAGCAAAAAATAAATAAATCTATATATTGCATAAAAATTATTAAAATTTAATTATTAAGGATAAAATATCATTATTATTAAGAACAAAAAAAGATTAAACGGTTAAAAAAATAATTCGTAACAATAAATAAATAACAAATTAAGATCTTGTGGTCATCTTTTTATAAAAAATAATCAACATAAGAATGATTAATTGTTTAACAATTATAATATCGCACTTTCACGTTATAATGAAGATTTATTAAAACAATTAAATAAATATTTTCCATTTCAAATATCAGCGCTATACTAATATAATTGTAAGAGAGCACTGGCAAAAGAAATTTGTATTCTGTCGCTGCTTTATGTAAAAGAATCGAAAGATCGTTTTGGAAAATTGTGAGGGCTGGTCCTGATACATTTATATAACATGTGTACGTACGATGTGTGCAAATGCGTTTCAGTTGATGTATTTCTCCATTTGATACATATCGACTAGCAAACGCGAGATTGGTATTTCCCCGATAGTTTCGTGAAAGAACAACCGTTCGACGGTCTTGGAAGAGACGCATCTCAGATATCCGACTAGAATCATTAACCTGCCAATTCTTCCTGGTTGCTGCGGATACCGTGACCTCGTGTAATCCACTAAAATACGTTGTGCCTGATCTTGCAATATCTCGATCGGTTGAATTGCATGTAGGCCAACTGTCTCTGCAATTCATAAAGAGAAGAACGTATGTGATAGTTCATATACATTGGTGCGATGAAGAATCGATTAATAATTTCAAGATATATCATAATAAATAATATATAAATAAATGATACCAAATCCTATTAATCTAACAATCCTATTAATCTATTAATCCTATTAATAACACTAATATAACACTAATATAATTTTAACAATCATTACTTGCTTGCATTTCTTGGTATCTCATCTTTTTTCCAGAAAAACTTTTTATTTCTTTTATTTCAATATAAATTTTTTGAATGTATTAACTTTAAAAACTTTCAAATAAGTATAAGAAAAGATTTAAAAAGAGCTAAATAAAAAATTATAACATTTTAAAATCTTTTTTAGGAGTCTATTTTTCACTTTTATTAATGTAAGATAAATGTATATTTATTGCTTTTAATGATTTCGTAACGATTATTAAATTTATCATATTCAAAAATATTGATCTGAGTTGCTAATAGTATGATAATTGCATCTAACAACGTTCTTTACCTGGAGTGAATAAAGCTACTGCCTTCATGCAGCCACACTCGCCGAAATCGGGGGATAATTGTCTAAACCGGCATATTATAGCCTGAAATATAAGAAAATATTTAAAAAAATATTTAACAAATACTTTGTTGATGAAAGTTTTCCTATCTGAAAGAAATACTGAAAAAAATGATTATTCAGAAACAGGATAAAGTCACCTCTTCAAATAAAATGACCGCATTCGTGCATTCACATTCCGCAACAATATTTTAATAAATACATTGTCTTTATTGTTGGTTGGACGTTAAAAAGCACGTAAGCCTGATAAATAAAAAATGGAAAGCAACGAAAGAAACGAAATGTCAAAAAATACATTTGTCGATGCTGAGAAGATGATTTGTTCAAAACAATTACATTGGCGATCGTTGTAATTTACTGAATGAAAAATAAAATCGATAAACCTGAATCAGAACGAGTTCTTGATTCGTCAGGTTGTCGTCTGTAGGAAGTCTGCTGCGCACTTGTTCATCATCAAGGAGCGCGGTGATGTCCCAGGAAATGGACCATTGCGCCAAATGTAGGAGAAACAGTTGCGTCCAGGATCGTTCCAACAGCAACAGCTGATCATCTTTCGATATCGTTTGGAAAGGTGGCAGGCATCGCACCCATCTGACAGCCATGAATAATAGCCGGGCCGTTGTTTCCTGCATTATTATATGTCCGCATAATAAACGGTGGATGTCATTGAATGAAAGAGAAAGATATGAAGTAGCTATGCTTGAAAATGAAGCTACCTGCAACATCTCCCAGGTCGGACTAAAACTCTGTACAGTGCCTGTCGGGCTTTGACTCGTTTCCGTCTCCATTTGCTCCACCGAGTATTCCGCCGTAGGTTGCAATCGCGCATTCCAAACCAATTCCTTAATTCCAAACACAAAGGGTTAATTTATACAACGAATGTACAATTTTTTTTTCATAAAAATGCAAAATAATAATAATAATAAATAGTGAAAAGTAAGATGAATGTGATAGATAATTAATAATTGTTTATTTCTGTGATTATATCTAAAGAAATAATGTTATGTTTCTTTTGGAAAAAGCGATTCAATAGTTTTAAATTCTACTAATTATATAATTATAAATTAAAACGAGTATCTTTTTATTAAAGATCCAATACATCATCATTTGTTTGATTCTGCTATTTTTCGATTTAATTTCAACTTGAAATATAAAACAAATAAAAAAATAAAGCCAAGATACATCTAAATTTGAATTGATATTTAAATTTTAATTGACAGTTAAATAGTATGATACAGAAATATTATTTTTATTTGTACAGAAGGTTGTGTATGTAATATCAACAATATATTTTTACGTGAATCTATTTTCCCGTCGTTTAGATTGCGAAATATGAACTTGGCGAACCGCTGATCTTTATTAAGTTTGTAGAAACGCGAGGGCGGGCACACAAATTAAGCTGAATTACTTACCTGACATTCCTCTGCGGACATTAGTATCTGCAGAAGGGGAGGCTGCGGCGCTAGGGAGACGGTCGTGGCCGCTTGATAGAGGGTCGTGGTCGTGCGAGGGTGCGGTAGAACCAACGGCACGGGGGATGGTGATTCCTCCGGCGGTTTCTGTACCAGCGCCATCGGTCGAGGGTAAGGCGTGAATCTTTGGTCGCACCTTAGCCTTCTACAGTAATAACCCTTAACTACTTCACGAAGAGTCTCAAGTATCGTTCATCAAATTTTATCATTGCTGTAGTTACGCATACGCGAAGTGTATCTCGTCGCTACCGCATTAACATTCAATGGTTACATGCCAAATTTAGGAAATGATTAATCATCGTGATTTTCCAATCTCCGAGATCTTTATAATATTTATCATTTTTATAATCTTTAAATAATCTTTGAGATGCATTGAAATAAAATTTACATAAAATATTAGGAATATATGGTTTGTTTTTTTAGTAGCTAACAAAATTGTATAAATATTATTGAAAACTTGAATATTTTCATGGAACAAAATTTAATTTATTTCGAATTATTTAACCATAGAATTATTAATGTAGTAGCGAACAAAACATTTTATATCATAAAATATATATATATATATATATATATTATGATTATTTTGAAACAATAAAAAAATATTAATTTTATATTTAAGAAATTTGGATATCAATTCGCACTTCTTTTAATATTAATAAGTGTAGAAATAAATTAATTTATAAATATAGTATTAATAAATTAATAAATTAATTTATAAATATAGTATTAATAAGTATGGAAATCAAAAATCATTTATCACTTTCATATTTTAATTACACTTAATCGTCATTTATAATTATCTTATTGTTCATTGGCATTTATATTTTAATCTATATCTGTCATATAAATTTTAAGCTATATCTAATGAGACAAATGTTTTAATGCAATTGAAGCAAATTATAGTACGTATGAACCAATTTACGGTTTAATTTATAATATAATAGCAAATGTGTTACACACCTGTGCGGTGACAGAACATACGGGGGAGGGAGTGCTGGTCTTAATCGATCATTGTGCACCGGGGTTGCGGAATGAGGGGATAACTGCGTAACAATTGACGACTGTTGCTGATGTTGTTTCTCCGAGATAATCGCATGGGGTTTTGGTTTCCTCGGTCCGCGTTCATGTTGTACTGCTAAACACCAGTTATAACGTAATTATATTACTTTTGACGTCTAATCTTGCTTCATGATTACATCATGAAGCCCTATATAAATACAATTAAAGATTATTTTCTTAAATTTATTTTTTCCTTAAGAATTCTTCCTTAATACTTTTATATATATTTCAAAAATATATATTTCATATTACATCATGTGTGTGCATTTTTTCCATTATATGTGCATGTGTATATATATTTTTTATTATTATTCTTGTGCTTCCTTATTTTTTATATTATTCTCTTCCTTTTATATTATTCTTCCTTAATAGAGTTCATTACAGTTCCGCATATAGAAAACACAAAATTATATAATTAGTTTCTGTTTTAAATTGGCAATATATGAGAACAAATGCCCTCAACCCTTTTCGAGACTCAATGAAAAATATTTTTGCGCACGCGAGGGGACGTGCCCTCGGTCTTCTGGCCCCCGGTGATCGAAAGTCCGTATCTAGGACTGCCTATCAATAATATCGGCGATGGACTTAACGGTGGGAGCGAAAAAGTGGGCGCAGGTTGCGCGGAATTGAATTCGGGGTATAACGCGCGTTGTAGGTCGTTCGAGATGTACGGGAGCTGTATATCCCGTGACCCGTCACGGAGGAGGGGCAGGAGGGAAAGGGGGAAGAGGGGCGAACGAACAAGAGGTCGAGAGGGAAGAGGGGGTGAATTGCGGATGAAAGAGGGTGGTAGATCGGATGTGGTGGCTGGCCGGGCGTCAGCTTCCACAGAGCTCGATCTTTCGAGCGTGGCTACAAACTCGGAGAGAGATAGAGAGACAGAGAGAGAGAAAGAGAGGCAGAAAGCGAGAAAAGGGCGAAGGACGTCGAAGGGAAGGAAGACAGATAGAGCGAGATGGCGAAGCGTGAGCTGCAACTGGGTGGCAAGCACATCATCATTAATGAGGCTGAGCGGATAGCAGCCGCGGATTCCCACGTTCGCACTGGCGTCGCAATATCTCCCCTTTATCACGCATCGCCCCGTCGAGAGAAATACTTTGCCACTGGCGCAACGAACAATTTCTTCTCGCATCGGGACGTCACCATTTTAACGGCAGAAGCGTGATGTATTCAAGTAAACTTATACTTTAATACGGTTCACTTGGGACGTAAGAACTGCATTCATAGAGTGTTGTATTTTCAACCGTCAATTTATTCATCGACAAGTTGATTCTTGAAATGTTCCCTCTCTTTTTCTAAATAAATGCTCATTTTATATTATTGTATTTATATTTTGTTATTTTTGTCAAGTTTAATAAAGTTATTCTCAAAAATGAGAATCTATATCTTAGTAAATGCACCAAATATATGCATAAGGCCTTGTGCACGTTTAAATTTTCGCGAATAATTAATCTTTAAGAAAAATTTACGTACTATCATCCGCGATGGCTCTTATTTGCTCGTTTCTTGTGTATAATGTTGTTAAAATACATAAAGAGCCTAATTCTTTATTAATAAAGTTATGTTATATCTGAGGATTATCTTGTATACTAAAATTTCATTTCCTTCCATGAATGATGAAAGAATGTTTTCATAAATTTTTAATTCGCGCAAATTTCACACAGGGTTTCTTTTTTCGAAATACATTTATCCTCATTAGAAACATTTATCATGTTTACATTAAAATTTCACTGTAATATTACGAAACATTATAAATAAGTAAGCTGGGATAAATATGAGGAATTTTGTATTTAAAATCGAGACAACGTTTCACGTATGCGCGGATACACGCAGCAAAAAGAAGCGATGCAAAATCCGCTTCGGGGTTGTTTGCTTTATCGAGCAAATTGGCCGTGCACATCGTAACAGGTATAAATATTATTATTTTCCAGGAGTAATTGTTCTCTCCAGCAGTGAGCTCCCTTGTCGGAAAAAAACCTGCCGATAAAGACCTGTTTACTTTACAAACAGTGATCTTTATGTTTTACGCACAGCAGCGAGATATTATCAAAACCAATACAATTTATATATTTTTATTCTTACGTGTTTTGTCACATATTGATCACGTATTAATGATATTATACAAATATATATATGGAAAAGCTAAAAAACCGATTGAATTAAGAAGAATGTACATAATATTAAAAATTGTAGAATTTTTACGGAACTTTAAAGGCCTACATAAGATATTATATTTTTAAGTTTTTATTAATGAAATAAATATTTAATTTGAAAGATAAATGTTATTGATATTAAAATTTAACAAATTGCGAAAGATAATGGAATTTCGTCGGATATTTTAATTTCGAAAAATGGGAAAATAATTTCTCACATATGTGAATATATTTGTAAAATATACATGAAATATTTAATCGCGCGTGATGCAGATCTTAATTCATCGAATATCCACGAATCAAAAGCGAAAAACGATCCGTTTTTCGCAGCCGTGGCCATTAAGCTCGCCTTTTTCGTACAAAAGCGCCTCGCTTTACAGCGCCTTGCGATCAAGAAGGAACATTTTGTCGCTCTGTACGCATCGTTGCTCAAATACAGAGCTTTATAGCTGAGCGGCTTACAGCTCGGCGAAGCGAAAACGAATGTGCGTCAAGGGAAAGCTCTTGGCATAAAAAAAGAACAGGACAAATTGATCTTTTAACCCCCCTCCTCTCCTCGAAGATCGATTGAAGATTAAATTGCAATTATGTTTTTAATATATCGATCATACTCTGAACATGCTGAAATCACATTTATTTTCGCAAATTTTTCACATAAATAAAAAAAAGTAGGTCCTTTTTATTTTGTATTAATCAATACAAACAATCTTTTGTAATGCGTCTTTTACGATATCGAAACGTAAAAGAAAATTGTTCATTTATATGTTTTATTAAAATGAAGAGTTCGCGAAATTTTCCCAAGTTCTTAAGGGAGTGCTTTAGATTTTATTATTGCAAGCAAATCCTCGAATTTTTCGCTCGTCAGTGGATTAGACGGGCGATTTTCGCGAATATGCACGTATCTCCGGACGGCGAATGGACACGGAGACGAGGATTAGAATCGCACATGCGCTGGAATGGACCGCGCCCTATTCCCTTTTCATCGTTCGTGATTCCGTTCTCTTTCTTTCTCCTTCTCTCTTTTCCATCCACTCGTACACATATACATCATCTTTTTGTGTACCTATAAACACACGGCCACCGTAATACTCTTGGCCGGCACGTGTGATCCACAATGCGAGTTCCCACAGTGGAGTGGCGTAGGTGTGGGTTTCTCTCTCTCTCTCTCTCTCTGTCTATCTGGCTCTCTGTAAACTCGCGCTTAAATATACGCACACATACATATGCATAGGGAGGCTTCCTTTTTAACATTGTACCACATGCGTATGTTGTGGATGTGTGTGTGTAGGGCACACGCGGTGCTCACACGGGCCGCGGATCACGGGGCTCACACTCTGTATCCTACTAAACGGTAAACCGATCTGTGAACATTTCAGCAGTCAGCGATCTCGAAGGCTAATCCCCGAGTGAATGGGGTTGATACATGGACACGACGCACTACCACCACCATCACCGTCACCATTACCATCACCACTGTCGGCGATCGTCAACGTCATCATTGTCGTCGAAGGAGATCGCGCGCGATACACGTGCACCTAACACTTCAGGGAGATTTTTCATGTTTATTCGAGGAATACGCATTTTAAAGGGATAAATCAACGTGGTCATTTTTAACGATATTATTTTCATTAAATATAAATTTTTTTCAATATCGGTTTTATTTATATATTTGAACATTATTAACGCAATATCAATATTAAAATATATGTAATTTTTGACACTCTATAAAGAAAATAAAATAATCCAAAATAATTGTTGCGTCAAGTTTTAATATTTGGTAAACAATTTTTAGCGAAATAATATTAATCTTGTAATAATCTCTTGGACAATCTATGATAATGAAACTCTCTCTATGCTTCGGAATGTAATAATAATACATATAATTATTATTAAAATTATTTTTTACAAGAATTTCGTTAAAGAAAAATTGTTTCAAATTGTTAAGAAATTTACAGATGAAGAAGCTATCCTCTATATGTGTATACAGACTGTACGAATAGGATCTATTTCGCTTGCATCGCTTCTATCGTTCGGAAAATCGTATGCGCACCGTCATACGTGTATCTGCATACGTTACAAAGCGTATGCGATCAGTATGTAATATCACTTACTGTTCAGTTAACGTCTTCCCTCGACCAATCTCGTAAATCAAAATTCCGTGAAACGCGATCGAATATAAAATACATATGCATAAAGATAGAGATTGTCGGGGTTTCAGCGGTTGCGTGGCATTTAATTAATTGTTTCCTCGATTTGCTCGAATATGTAACATGTTATCTCGTCAAACAGAGAGAAATAGAAATAAATATAAAAATATATTATAGTAAAAAAATATTATAAATAAAATAAAGAAAAGAATCGTCGATAAAAGTAATCATATCTAATTTTTTTAAATATATAAAATAAATATATGATAATAATTTTTAAATATTATTACAACAATAAATCAAAAATATATTTTTGTATACAATATTACAAATTCATTTCTCATAGTTCTTATTACGCGAAAATGATCATTTTAATGATGTTCGTAATATCTACGACAAGGTCATATTTATCAAAGTCTCTTTACGGAGGATTCGGAGATAAAAAGTAAATAAGTACATGTGATATATTTTCTTAAAAAAGCGTATTAATTCTTTTTAATCATTTTATTAAAATAATCAAGTAAAGTAGAACAGCTTGTTATTTTAATCTAACTTATATTCGCAAAATTAGCCGAGGGAGAAGCGATTAAACGCATAGATCGATCAAACTGTTCGGTCGTGAATGACACGAGGCGAAAGAGCCGCAGCCTCTGATAACCCGCGGATGTAATTCTCGCATTTATGCGAAGCTGGAGACGATCGGGGTACCGGGACCGGGACAGGGACCGGGACCGGGTCGCTGCAGTTCCTCCGGGCGTGTTGGTATGATGACAGGT